TTCCTGAAGGAAAGAGTGGTCGGATGGGTCGATCGATAAGCCGGCCACACAAAAGCTCCCGCTCCTTTGGTGCACCCTCTCTCCGCATGTATGAACTAGGAATAACACCTTGAGCAAATTGTTTCTCTTGATAATCAACCTAGTGAAAAGAGCAGAAAACAGCTATTAAGCTTCTAAAAAGTTAATAAGCTTCATATACAGATAAAGGAAAGTCCCAAAGCACCATCTATACAACAGTGGAACAGAAGTTGCAAAATTTCTTTGTGGGAATATAACAATAACATTTACAAAGTAAACATTTCTTAATTCCATACAAAAACTAACGAGCATCCTATACACAACATGAATTCTGATATATCTTGGCAAAACCTTGCAAGAATTCCGGAGTAGTCGGAGAAAATTCCGATTTTTCCAGGAGATAGCCACAAAATGCACTCCCAGATTACCAAAAACAGTTATCAGGCGCAAACATACATCGATCTAAACTCATGAAACTAAGGAAATCGATTCAGTTAATGGCAACTTACTGTAAGAGGCAAGAAATCCCGAGGCGAGTCGGTCTTGGCACAGGTGATGGTAGAAAGAACTTTAGTCTCGTCCATGCCAAGGACGACAGAACCGTTGGCGAACCTCGCGATCTTTCCTGTCTCGAGAGTGATAACACGTGATCCGATCTCGAATTCTTCTTTGAATGTATCCAGGACTTTGGTGCCCGCCGAAACCGGTGGCTCCGGGTTGGACGGCGCGAATCCGAGGCGGCCAGAGCAGACTGTGCGAAAACCTAAAGCACGCCATGCGAGCAAGTTCGGGAGAGCAGTGGCTGTCGCTCGGCTCGCAATGGCTGACATGAGAGAGAGAGAGAGAGAAAGAGAGAGACTGAGAGGTATTAGGGTTTAAGCGAGGTTTAACGCTGGAGGAGAAGAACCGGGAACAAAAAGAGAAGAAATGCGAGACGGAAGTTAAAGGTAAACCGGCACTGACTATACAATTTAAACCGTTTTCCATGTTATTGTACTCGGAATTCAAAACCAACGGTTAAAAAGGAAATATCATGTTTCCGCTAAAAATTACAATACTACTCTCTACTCTCTCGTCTAATACCAAAGCCCACAAAATCCATAGGCAATCCAACGGCTTATAGGCACATATGGGCTTATGGACATATGGGCCATAAATGATAAATCTCGAGAGGCCCAACAAAGGACGAAACCCTATTGCCCACGCTTTTTTTCCATTTTTTTTTTGTTTTCTCTCGATTGTTTCCTAGTTCTGGTCTCTGTATTCACAGCATAAATTCCGCCTCCGGTCGCCACTAGCCGTTAGCTTTCTTCTTCGAGAACAGCAGCAACGTGAGTACCTCTACACCGTGTTGCGTAACTCTGTTGGCTTCTTGTTATGCTTTCTGCTCTCGAACTTGCCGTTTGTCTTGTGTAGTTCCATCTTGTTAGCTTCTTGTATCAGAAATTTTGTGCCTAGGGTTTATGAATCCGTCAAATGGACTCTGGGTTCTTCTCCAATATAGTTTCTTTCCTTAAAAAAATAGATTTGGGAAGCACCCAAGAGTGGGTTTTTGTTTAAATCATGAGACTTTTCGCTCTCTTGTGCCTGGAAAAGATGCCATGTGAATGTGTTCGATTGCATAGATTTGATTTTTTGCATCCATCATCTCACTGATTAAGCAATCCAAGTGTGAGGGTTCACTGGAACGTCTTCTGCCATTCTGAATGCTTTTTCAAAGTTGAGGATCTTTTGGTATTGTCACCAGGATCTCCTCGTCTGGGTTTCGGTTTTGATATAGCCTCGGGTAGGGAGGGAATGTGAAATTTATATATATTGTTGAATGACTGTTTTCGAGGTTTTATGATTTCAGACTTTCTTGTTGCGATCTCGGCTACTAGTAATACTCATCACAAGAAGATGTTGTTACCCACCGAATCAACAAAGGCATTGTCTTTCAAAAGGTGTATTAACGATGGAGACTTGGTTATTGTTTATGAGAGGCACGATGTGATGAAACCAGTTAAAGTGTGTAAGGATTCTGTGCTTCAGAACCGTTTTGGGGTATTTAAACACTCGGATTGGATAGGAAACCCATTTGGTACAAAGGCTTTCAGCAACAAGGGTGGATTTGTTTACCTTCTGGCTCCCACTCCCGAGCTGTGGACGCTGGTTTTAAGCCACCGGACTCAGATTCTTTACATTGCAGATATTAGCTTTGTGGTAATGTATTTGGAAATAGTCCCTGGCTGTGTTGTTCTTGAGACTGGAACTGGAAGTGGCTCTTTGACTACATCACTTGCTCGAGCTGTCGCTCCTACAGGACATGTTTATACGTTTGACTTCCATGAGCAAAGAGCTGCCTCTGCCAGGTGAGAATTATGTGTCATATCAGTATGTTTTGGTCCAAGTTCCTGAAATTTGTTTTACAGAAATCTGCACCCTAATGTTGTTTTGCCTACCCCTGATCTGTTTTCCGCTTTGTTTTCTTCTATTCAAATGCAAAACCTGGGTATTCTGCCCACTGGTCTTCGGTGCCATTACTGTAATTTTCAAATGTTCCATGAAAAATTGCCAAAACTTGTGAGCTTATTCTTTTCCTCCAATTCTGACACAGGGAAGATTTTGAGAAGACAGGCATCAGCAGTTTAGTCACTGTAGATGTTAGAGACATTCAAGGGGAAGGATTTCCCAAGAAGCTGTCGGGTCTGGCTGATTCAGTGTTTCTAGATCTTCCGCAGCCTTGGCTGGCGATTCCTTCTGCAGCCGAGATGTTAAAACAGGATGGAGTTATCTGTTCATTCTCACCATGCATTGAGCAAGTACAACGCGCATGTGAAGCCCTCAGATCAAATTTCATAGGCAAGTGCAAAATTTATTTCAACTGCGAAGGATCTGAGGGCTTAAGGGCAATGAATCTGGGTGTCTAGAGAAATGGGTCAATGGTTTTTTCTTACAGGAATCAGTTGATGTAATGCTGTGTGATTTGGTTTTGGGTAGATATAAGGACGTTTGAGGTGCTGCTAAGAACATACGAGGTGAAGGAAATGAAAATGGGTGGTGGCAACAATGAGGAAGAGGAGGAGAAGGGAATGGGACGTCGGCCGTGCAAGAGAAGGCACCGTTCAAATGAAGAAGACGAGGACAGTGGTTCACAGATGGTCATGGCTCGGCCCTGCAGCGACTCCAGAGGCCACACCGGTTACTTAACCTTTGCCCGACTCACATGCCTACCCTAACACCACTCTGGAATTTTGTATTTTTGTTAATTTAATGGGTATTTGATGTGTGTCAAAATATACGTCAGATCCTTGTTATTTGGTATGACATACGGAATCATTCGTAATTGTAAACATAAGAAGTGGGAGCTGTGGTTGAGAGACTCTGAAATTAATGCTTTGGTCCCGCAAGAAGGAGATACATGGCTCTCATTTCATGGTGATCCGTGCCACCACTTGGCTCATGCATCATCATCCACACGTAAACTCCCTTCTTTTCCTTGCCCTAACGCTCCCAGCTCCAACTATAAAAACCAGTCAACGTTTTCGTTGTCCGATTTCCGCCGACGTTCGATGTAAACTCAATCTTCCTAACCAATACGCTGTAATGAAGATTGACATTGATTAGGCCACGTGGCACGCTTATTACGGGATGGAATCTTCGATTAGCATGCACATGTAATTGGTGACCAATTACGTAACAGTGTCGTAGAAAGGAACTCAACTACCTCATTGAAGCATTACATGGAAATTGAAGAAACAGAGGCACCGGAACAACATGAAAATTGTCGTCTACTGTCGTAAAATCTTCCGATAATTAAATATCGCCGTAGCGGAATAGACCCTGCAGGAATCATGCTTTCCCTTTCACTCCTAACTCCGTCTCCCAAGCCCTTCACTTGTTCCATCGCCCGGAAACACAGTCCTCTCACAAGCTCCTCTTCTTCCGACAATGTGAATCCGCGGTTTTCCCCTGACACATCCTTCGCCAGAAAGCCTTCCTCTTTCTCGTCCACTTCATGCGGTTGCTTCAGAGACCCAGTCGCCTCTTTGTTTCCGAGGCCTGGCCGGCGGAAGCTCAAGGCAGCAGCTGCTGTTCCGGATAACGTGGAAGGCGATGTGAGGTCTGGCGAGTTATTGAGAGGTCTGAAGCTTTGCGCCATGTTCGGAGTTTGGTATCTTCTCAACATCTACTACAACATTTTCAACAAACAGGTTCGCTTCTCCTTGATTGGGGAAATGAGAAAGAGGCTCTTTTCTTTACTTTCTAGTCAGTCAATTAAAGAAGCCGCATTTTCCTTATCCAGTCATGGCTCGATTTTTGTCGATCTCTTGCAATCATCTCAGCACCAATAATTCTTCATACAAACATGAAATCTGGGTCTCATTTGGATTATGAATTCCCAACTGGGTTCTTCTTCTTCTTCTTCTCTTTTTTGATGATGATAATAGGTCCTTAGGGTTTTTCCGTATCCAGCGACTGTAACTGCATTTCAGCTTGGATGTGGGACGACGATGATAATGGTAATGTGGCTACTTAATCTCCATCCTCGTCCCAAGATTACTTCTTCTCAGGTATGGCAATTACTCTCCTCTTGAGACGTGAAAATGGAAAAAATGTTGTATTTTGTTTTTCTGATCCTTGGCGTGATTCTAAATTCCAGATTCCGGTGATCATACAACTAGCAGCAGCTCATACGTTGGGGAACTTGTTAACGAATGTGAGCCTTGGAAATGTGAACGTCTCCTTCACTCACACCATCAAAGCAATGGAACCTTTCTTCGCCGTCTTGTTCTCTGTCCTCTTCCTTGGTGAGGTATAAAAACACACATACAACACAGAATTCTTCTGAACCGAAAAAAAAAAAAACATCTAGAACACTATTTTTTCGGAGGATGGAGCTTGAAAAACTCGAATATGTGTGTTGAATCCAGTGGCCAAATATGTGGATCGTTGGTTCGCTGGTACCGATCGTTGCTGGAGTGGCCTTGGCATCTTTCACAGAGGCTTCTTTCAATTGGTATGAAGCTGAAGTTGAGAATGAAACTTTCATTGGGACAAGTAGCGTGGAAGTTGTTAAATGTGATTATATTGGTTTTGTTTTGGGAGAAACAGGATTGGTTTCGGCAGTGCAATGGCTTCAAATGTCACAAACCAATCAAGGAATGTGCTGAGCAAGAAGTACATGGTCGAGAAGGTGATGAATCTGTCTGTCTCTTGTTTTAGAAAGCCAAACATGAAAAAGGGAAAAGCTCGATGACACGATTGAGAGTTCCTGACGGCCTTTCCACTCTTCAAAGGGCTTCAGGATTATCGGTGTATCAATAGCAGCAGAATCTACGCAAAGCATTGTCTTGTAATCCTCATCCCCCATATCCACAATAGTCTTTGCCTTTTTGTCCCATGGGTTCCACCTTTTCTCTGTGATAACAATAATATCATTTGTCTTGCTGGTCCCTGCAGCGGCTGTAATAGAAGGCTTTAAGTTCACTCCATCACACCTTGAGATCGCTGTGAGTGAAAGATACCTTAGTGTTACCATGTTAGGATATGCTTGATGATGAGTGAGTGAGGGTTGTTGTTTCTTGGCAGACAAGTCAAGGGTTGAATGTGAAAGAGCTCTGCATCAGATCTCTTCTTGCTGGATTCTGCTTCCACAGCTATCAACAGGTCCTCCTGTCTTTCCTTTTCCTTCTTGCAATTGTATTGTTATGGCATTGGGTGTGTTAGAACAGAGAGAGGGTGATGGTTGGCATTTGGTGGGGGCAGGTGTCGTATATGATACTGGGGATGGTATCGCCGGTCTCCCACTCAGTAGGGAACTGCGTGAAGCGGGTGGTGGTTATAACTTCTTCCATTCTTTTCTTCCGGACTCCTCTCTCTCCCATCAACGCTCTCGGTAAACACAACATCTCCCACTTGTTACTATATCATACAATACGTACATACATTCATTATGGATGGACGTTACAACTGTGGTTTTCAGGTACTGCGACGGCACTCGCTGGCGTTTTCTTGTACACAAGAGCCAAGAGGATCAAACTCAACCCCGCCACCATCTCGTGATGGAACCTCCTCCATCTCGTTATTTTCCTATGTCAAATTCACTCTCTGTGAAACCTGTCATGTTCGCCATATTCATGCCTCAGTGGAAATTTTAGTAACACAGCAGCAAAACAAACTAAACAAAACCATGTTGTCGCCGTTATATTTTAACATCATTACACCCAACAAAGGTCTTTTGCCCCCTTACACACATCAATATCACATAATACCCGTCTTTTTTTTTTCTGGGTTTCGCCCTCCTCGGCCTTCAGGGGTAAAAAGAACCAAAACTGAAGTTGGGCTTTGTTGTCCAGTTGAAAGCATATATATATATATATATATATATATATATATATATCACAGTTTCGATTTCGGCCGGGGGCACCAAAAATGTCTTCGGGGGGTAAGAAATCATTCATCATTCATCAATCACGAGGGGGAGAGAGCCTGCCACGTGTCATCATTGCCTCGTGGAAGCTACGGGGTGGGGAACGAGCGGTGGAAGATGATGGTCCTCTTCCAAATCTCTCGGGGCTACGGCTCCTTTCACGATCCCTTCCCCATCCCGAGCTGCTTCTCATTGGAGGGCTTCTGCTCCTGTTGTTCATTTCAAGAATTTTCCCTTTTAAAGACCACACTCGCGCAAGTATATCAACGGACATGAGAATAAAACAGCTTGCCTTCCATACTATAGTATTTCAAGCCTAGTTCAGCATAGTACCCAAGCAAACACTAGCATTACCTGTCACGTGAACCCCAGCTACCTCTGCCACCATAACCAGAATCAGCACGGCCTCCGTAGCCGAAATCACCATGGCCCCTGCCACGACCTCCATCCCGACCTCCCGACCCAGGGCCCCAACGCCTGAATTTGTTCATTCCACCACCGCGAGAAGCCATTTCACGTATCTGGGGAGGGACTTTTTGGCTTGCTCCTTCTAGAATCTTGATCAGATCTGAAGCATGCTTTGCATCTTGCTCCCCTAAGAATGTGAACGCCATACCAGTTGCTCCAGCCCTTCCAGTCCTCCCGATTCTATGAACATAATCTTCTATTCCTGTTGGAAAATCATAATTGATGACCACCCTGTGACAGAAATTGAGAAAAAGGTCAGACTTATCAGCTTTTTTATTTTCCAATTTAGAAATACACAAAAGGTTGAATGAAACCCCCCAAATGCGGGATACATAAAAAAAGAAAATGATTTATGAATGGTATTGAAGATCACACCTGATGTCTTTAATGTCAAGTCCACGAGCAGCAACATCAGTCGCCACAAGCACCGGAGCTCTACCAGTGCGGAACTGACTCAGAACACTGTCCCTCTCACTCTGGGACTTGTCCCCATGTATAGCAGCAGCTCCAAATTGGCGGGTCAGATTGCGTGCTAGTTGATCACACATCTTCTTGGTTGAACAGAAAATTATGATCTTCGAACCAGGCTCTTGAGACCTCAATATCTGCTCTAGCCTTCTATGTTTTTCCATTGGTGCCACGACTTCAACATGCTGCTCAGAATACAGACTATAAAATCCCTTCCCAGCACATGTAACAAAAACAAGAACAGAACAGTAATGGAATCGGGTCAAGCTGTACCTGTGTAATGGACTTGTTCGCCACAAGTTCATCAACGTTGCCAATGTTGACCTGGACAGGGTTGACGAGGAGGTCAGCTGCAATTTTCCTCACCTCCTTTGGCCAAGTAGCTGTGTACATGAGTGTCTGGCGTTTAGTGGGAACCTCATTCACTATCTTCCTTATCTGAGGCTCAAATCCCATGTCTAACATTCTATCTGCCTCATCCAGCACAAGATAAGAGACCTGATGCAGGCTGATTCTCCTCATTTCGAGGATATCGTTCAATCGTCCAGGTGTTGCAACCACAACATCTACTCCTCTTTCTATTTCTCTCAGTTGAGGACCCTTGGGTGCTCCACCATACAAACACTACGACACAAAAAAAAACAGCCAATCGATGCATCAGCAAAAATTGATCAATGAATGCTTCGAAGAGAGCACATCAGGGCTCCACCAAGCAACCACATGACAGGAAACAGACTAACACATTAAGAAGACACTACTGAAGCAGCAATGCAAAAAAAAAAAAAAGACACCCAAGAAAATGACATACCGCACAAGAAATTCTCGATGACTTTCCAAACTTTACAGCTTCATCTTGAATCTGTGTAGCCAGCTCCCTTGTTGGTGACAGCACCAGAACTGTCGGACCCATTCGTGAATCATTGTGGACGCGTCTGAGATGCATAAACCCTGGAATCAAGTAACCCAATGTTTTTCCAGAGCCTGTTTTAGCAATGGCTACTATGTCTCTACTTTGCAACGCAATTGGCCATGACTGAGCTTGAATTGGAGTTGGAGCAGAGAACCCTGCATTGTATACCTGAGAAAGCAGAAAACCAGGATGTCCTATGAGCAGAGGAACACCAAGGTTCTTTTGGGGCTTTTGGAGAGAAGGCTCATGCCAGAAGGAGCATCATCCTCCATTTGCAGGCGGCTGTTGAAACCTGCAGCAGGAGGACGCCCCTTCTTCTGTCCGGACCAATTGGCAGATGGACCATCCCCATTGAAAGGGCCCTGCCACGACCTTGGACGATTTGGAAAGCTCTTCCCAAAAAAAATGGTCCACCAAAAGAGGGCACAGCGTACGACATTAGCTCCTCCCAGGAGCAAATATCGCACCTGGGACAAAAAAGCAGAAACAGGTGCATTTCGCATAAACTTTTCTCACCACAACTCAATGTTGGCCCTCCATAAATCACCAAAACCTCGCATATAGGACTCTAAGTCTAATATCTTGCTTACTCGGAAAGAAAAAAATGTGAGATCAGTAGATTTAGCCCCTCCAGCAATCACAAAATCTCACATAAAACTCTTATAAGGCAGAGCAGCCCGGCTTGCAGAACAGTGTGAATATATATAGATCCCTTACTTAAAGACATTGAATCCTTTAACCAAGACTATCGAAAATGACTACTAAAATGCCATACCTCCCGCAGAAGCTCTGGAGGAAAACCAGCGTCTTCAAAAGACATTAAAGGCGGTGGTACTCGATCTCCCTAGTGAAATGAAGAAAGAATATCAGAAGCCACAGGAAAGAATCTTATGCATTTAATAATCAAAAGAAATTAACAAATTTGAAGGAAAAAACTAATCTAATGGACTGTGCCAGCATGAAGTTCAACATACAACAACAATAGCGCCTTAAATCCAAATTTATTTAGGGTGGTCCGCATAAATTTTTCTTCCACTCATTTCGGTTTGGGGTTAAGTCCTCCGAAATTTGTAAACCTTTCAAATCATTACTAATAACTTGTTCCCAAGTGAGCTTAAGTCTACCCCTATCTCTCTTCCCCTCTCTTATTCATATGTTCTCTACTTTTCTAACCGGAACGTCTAAACATAACACATAAAAAAAACAGGAACATGACCACGTACAGTTGCCAAGAGACTTGAGTACAATGCACAACATATCTCAGAAAGGAATAAAATCGACCACAGACAGCAACATCAACATCGCCTTAATCTCAAGTTTATTTGGGGTTCGGCCACAAGTAGCAAAGATATAAAATTTCAACTGCCTTATATCTTTTAAGTGAGGTGAGAAAGGTAAAACACAGAAATGGAGACATAGGACTCTGGAAGAAGCATAAGAAAGAAAAAGGGATAGTTTGTCAAGGAAATTCTAGATACTTACAGTAACGGTTATTTCATGACATCGACGATAAGCCTCTGGAGACAGCCCACCTCCTGCCGCTGCAGCTGATGGAGGTCCTCTGGCTGATGATCCACCTGCAGAATTTCCTAGTCCACTTGAGGTTTCTTGAGAGTATGGCGGTCTCTGCAGGAAATTAAGACATGGTGTTTGATGTACAAAAAAGTAAAAAGCAGAAGAATAGAAAACTGAGGAAGACACATTCACTAGCAGTATCAAATGATTGCTATAAAAAATCATAAAATTAATGAGGAAAATCAATGAAAAGCACCAACAATCACTAATAGAAATGACAAAATTACGGACACAAGTCAGTACAGTACCTCAGTAAACCTTGATAGAGAATCAATCTTGGACCCACCATCACTTCCCCTACTGTATTTATCATCCTCGTTGCCAGGACTGTAACCACGGTTTTGTCCAGAAGAAGATAGTTGAATCTGAACAGAAGAGCTTACCGAGACAGTAGAAGGCTTGGGTGGAGGAGCCGAGCAACTTGGTCTCTCATACTGGGTAACATTGGTCTCGGGATTCCAGAAGTACAAATACCCAGTTCTACCATCAACAAGACCTTTCCATGGCTTGGGAAGAGTCGGATCTTCAGGTGCATATCGAATTGTAGGCGCAGCAGTTGCTGTAACAGCCATAGCAAGCATAACAAAAGCGCTGCAAGAACATATAATAGAGACAATAGATTCATTAACCCCCAAGTATCATAATAAGAAATTGAAAAGACAGCGAAAAACCAAAGTGACAATAACAACTAAAAAACGAACATCACTATCCCCAAAACCACCACAATTGAACACGGTACAAGAAAGCGCCCACTTTAGCAGCAGAGGCAAGAGCATTTACGGTAAAGTTCATACTAAGTTCCCGTTGATACGAAAGGCCTCACAAACATCGTACATATCATATCCACACATCAACACTGAAACGAAACTTTCCCACCGAGGTCTCCGATTCCTGAAATGTTTTCAATTTTCAATCCAAACCCGAAAACTAAAACTCCTATCTCGAGAAAATAATGAAGTATCCGAACTAAATCCAGAAAAATTTACAGATCTAGATACAACGCCAACGAAAACCCTAACACGACGGCATCGCTCTGGTCCAATCTCGAAACAACAAAACAACAAGACAAAACAACGAAGAATTAAATCAGAATCAGAAATGAAAATAAAAAACTAAAATCTCCAGATACGAAAAACAAAACCACGATTCAGATCCGAAGCGAGAGAGAGCAGTCATTTGAGAAATTTTCAGGAGAAGGAAATTCCAGAGACACCTACCGGATTCGCTACCGAGAGAGTGGAGAGAAATTGCGCGAGTGAAGCGAAGATGAATCTCAGAAAATCTCCAGAGCCACCAACCTTACGCAGTTCTCTGTTCTTCGTTTCTCTCTCTAGATATCTACGCCAGAAAGAAAAGCGTAGGCAAGAGAGAGAAACTTGGAAAAAAGTGAGGAGGAAAAACGCGCTGAGGGACAATTTATAAGCGCCATCGCTTGCAAAATATCGGTGACCAAACCGGACCGGGTTTCGGGCAAAATGAGGCTCTCTCGCTTAACCGGAAAATGGGCCGGCCTGACCCATTTCCCCTCAATCTATAGCTATTTTCTTGAATAAATTTATTCCCACTAAAAAACTGTAAATTATTAAGATTTCTTTTTTTGTAATTTGGAACAACACAAGAAGACAAAAATCATAAATGGTTCAGGAGAACTCAAAAAGGGGAGAGAAAAATGCAGTATCCATAGAGCAGAGTTTTAAGATGGTGGAGGCCAAGGAAAGTTTGGCCAGCTGAAGGAACCACCTTCCTTCCTTACAACTTAGTTTCTGAATAATTTCTATGCAAAATGTACACTGGTTTAATCCCAAAATGAAATTGTCCCCATGTGATCACATCACATGAACATGTTCAAACACATAAACAGCAGAATCCATCAGAGTCCCATAGATGCCCAAAAGAAAAAATCAGAATCACAGCCTTCTCATCCTGCGAGTTTTGTCACGAACCACGCCTAAAATCCTACAATATTCGAAGAATAAGGATGATTCTTTACCTTCAAGACCAACTCGGCTGACACGGTTACTGCCAGCAAGGTTGTTGCAAGGGCTTCCACCAATGACGAGGTCGAACCCACCGTACCGATCCATGAGCTCTTCAATCTTGTGTTTGGTCAGTTCTTGTACGTCTCCAAAATGGATCAGAACACCCTTCTGGTTTGTCTGCTCCCAGAAGCTTCTCATGATGTCTTGGTTCACTTTTGAGATCTCAACTGATACAACAGTCTTCATCGGGATTTGGAGGCGATGAAGTGCCACTTCTGCCCCACCAATCCCCGAGAAGAGTGAGAGGACATTGAGTCCATTCGGGAACAACTCCTTTAACACTGAGAGGTGATATGCCACAGTGTCCACCTGAAAAACATTTCAGTATACCCATTGTATCAATGTGAACTCAAAGAGGATAAAGGATAGGTTTCCTTTTCTCTCCGGGCTTAAACGACTACTTTACGAAAGGACCCCAGCCAAGCATTGTATTTTCTTTTCAGAGTAATTTCCAAAGAAAAGTATCACACATTCTTCAAAGAACTTATATACTGAATCTCTTCTACGGCAATTTGGTGGTACTTCTTCATTCTTTTCCAATAGAGGTAAACTTGTTTCATCATTTTTATCAGTTCCGAAAAAGAAATATGGCACTTTCCACTAAGCCCCAGCTACTCTTAGCGTCCACTCAATCAGTAGATGAGTCTCAGTTCACGGTACCAAGAAATAAATCATGAAAATAAGGTACAAATGTAGAGTGTCATGCCTGGAATGAATTGCCAAGAGACTTGTAGCGATCAGTCCTGCTGATACCGCCACCTCGAGTATGATTCCTAGGGAAACCAAGAAGGTTCTCAATCTCATCCGCCTCAAGGGGGGCCACTTTGTTCCTCCCAACCCAAACAAGATTCCATTTTCGACATTGCCCTATAATATACTTCTGCACAGCAATAGGTGGATCCCCATTACTATTTTCTAGTGCATCTCGTATCCTCTCTGTGAGTTTGGCACTGGCTATAGCAGTCTGCAAACAGTTCAACTTTGTCCTCGTGTCCCATGATGGCCACCATCTCTTGGTTAAAGGGAAAGCCTCATGTATAGTATATTTTGGTGGAGGTTGGAGCTCAAACCTGTTGTGTATGGGAAGGTTGTGGATGTAACCCCTCTTTCTTGCAGCAGCACAAAAATACTTAGAATCAACAAACTCCGGCGTAACTTCAAAAAGGAAACTAGATATGGTATCCCAAACACCCTTTGGTGCAAGTGCGACGTTCTCATAGTAGAAGTAGGGCAGACCATGAGCTGCCTCCGGAAGTGTTCTCTGAGATACCAACCCAGGTTCATTAGGAACCCCAAACCCTATCATCGGGTTTGGCAGACGAATACACTCTTCTTCAGTAGTTGGAATAGACCGCTGCTTTTTCCCTTTTACTGTATCACACTCCAGCGATTGTCTCTTTTTCGTGCCAACTCTAACCTGCAAAGTGCCCAAACCCCATCTATAAAGCTATTGATTTGTACAACGACACAAGAGAAAGATATGTAAAAGAACTAGGTAGAAGCCTGAAAATTTGAACGACTGTTTCAATTCAATCATTAAAGTTCTTTCATTAACAAAACTCAAGCACTGCAGGTTTACAAGACATCATCTAAAGCACTTCAATTTTAAAAGTTAATGGCGAGTTTTCTACGGGCAATGAATAGAAATGCGTTAGATACTTTTTAAAAGTTCCAAAGCTTGAATTGGTTTCAGTATTTGGATCATAGTACCATACATAGTTCGGTGTTTTTACCATAATTTCTCTAGTTTAAGCATATGGGAACTAAATTGTACATGTAGCTAATTTCTTCAAGAGGTCCAAACAATACCATGTCTTCATCAGGGTCAGCGGAAAATTCAGTAGATTGCCTTGCCAACTGAGCAGCAAAAATGAAGTCTGCTACCTCATCAATAGCAGCATTTTCTCCTAAAAGTGTAATCAGAGAAACAAGGGTAAGCAGCAAATGGATGTTAAACGTCTGAGAAATACATGCAAACATCTGACAAATATGAAAAAGAAAAAAAATGCAAAAAAAGATTATCATCACCTAGGTATAGTGCCCTCGTTGAAAACCCAAGGCATGGAAATGAATATATTCTTATAGTTTCATCCTCAAACAGATATATAAAGGGTAGCCCGGTGCACAAAGTGTCCCCATTGAGCAGGGGTCCGGGGAAGGGTCCCACCACAAGGGTGTAGTGTAGGCAAACCATACCTTGCAGAAATATTCTGCAAGAGGCAGCTTCCAATACTCGAACCCGTGACCTCTAGGTCACAACGACAACACCTTAACCGGTGCGCCAAGGCTCTCCTTCCTCAAACAGATATATAGTAACATTAAAATTATGGTTATGCTCCTTTGCTAGGTAAGAGACATGAAAACTAAGGAATGATAGATGGCTACATAAACGAAGAAATTATCCTACTTTCAAGAAGCTTTTTGTGTCCTGTGAACATAATTTAAGTACATCTTACCGCATCTCTCGATAGCAGTAGAAACCTCCTCCATCTTGAAACCCATTTTCATCAAGGAACGCAGTTTCACATCCTCGGGCAAACAACTTGCATCCTATCACACATGGTATAGTATAGGTCACATACACGTATCTAAGATACAAAAACCTCTAAATATGAGGCACATACCCCTTCATCTGAGGAACTATAGAGGTCTGAGTAGTTCTCAATAGGACTCTCATCATCATCAGATGACCAGTCCATGATACAAGCTTCCATTGCTTTACGTGATTTCTCTTCCTCCTGCAAAGAACCAATACCATATTCTGAATGTAGAGACAATAAAAAGCCATTTTGGCCAACGATTTTAACAGACAGAAAACAACAAAAACAGAAGGATTAAAAAGGAACATAACTTACAGCATAACGCAGGAGCGTGTTAGCTATTGCCTCCATGTTTTCCTCTCCTAAACATTAATGCGAACAAGGCAGAAAACTCTATCAAAAATTTCTTCATACTCGAAAGGACATAGTAAGTCCTTACCGTTTTCTTGGATAGCTTTGATCACCATTTCCTCAGCAAACCCCATCCCAAGAAAATAATCAATGGCCCTAGACTTGGAAGAGCTTGCTTCTGTGCTCACCTTCAAAAGGAAATGAAACTAGAATTTTAGAAAACAGAGAAAAGCATGTCTCAGCAAACACAAAAAGCCAGCCGGAGAAGATATGTGATCACCAGAAGAGAATTGTAAATGCACTGCTAATATGAAGGAAAAATTTGCAATAGCATGCTGTAACCACTACATGAGAATTGTTAAAGCAAGGTTAATAACAAGAATCCAAAAATTAGAAGCTCACCGAATACTTGAAAAGAGCATCAAGAATTGCTCCAGTATCTGCATCTCCACCTGTAAAATCATCAGAACATCATTATGGACAAACCTTAGATACAATTATCGAAAACAGGATAAAACACAAAAAACTTTACCAGTTTCCCTGATTGCCCGAGCAATCATCTCATCAGAGAAGCCCATGTCAACAAAATTGCTCATCTTAATGCTAGGAGAACTTGAAGAAAAATTTGCCTGGTATAATATGAAAGCAATGTTGTATTATTTCCTTAGAAAAATGAAGAAATTAGAAATAGCTCGACAACTCATGAAACTTCTTCATCAGCAAAACACAAACCTCAATTGTGCTGACACCATCATTTCCCCCAGGATGCACATGAGCGGAAGGTGGAGAGGATCTATAATTATCAATCTCTAGTTCATCATCAGTGTTCCAATGGTTATCAAGATCATGATCATCGCCAGTAGCACTTGCAGCCTACAAAAACATTGAGGAACAAAGATGAATGCATCAATTTCACGTTTCCAACAATTCATTTTCTCACTCGGTTTGAAACATCAAGTTTATCATTTTAATTTCCCAAGGTACTAATATCTCAGGTTCAGAAAAATGAAATAGAAATCGCAAAGTACCATTTCCTGGGAAAGCTATTACAGAGCGGCTGTAAGACTCCAAGTCCAGAATCAAGACTCTGAATATGCCAAGCAACGTAGCAAACCTGAACAGGAACTAAATACTGTAAGTATCAATTAGTCAAAACTTTAAGTTGAACATAACTTGAACAGGACCCATTAGCAAGAATCGCTGGTTCAACACTTCCATCTCAGTTGCTGGCTGCATCGAACTGAAAGTTCTCAAAAAGATAAGGAAAACAAAGTCTGCAACTCGTAGCAAACCCCCCAAATCCGAAATTAATAGCCTAAAGAAATAATTCTCTCTTTGCACTAAACTTAGAACCTTCTCCCAAAATTCACACAACAATGTCATACCCACAGTCTGAAAAAATACAATACACCACATTGTGCTTTGAACAAAAGATATCCAAATTCCTTACTCAATCAAGTGAGAATGAAGGAAATAATAGCAAATCTACAAATTCCAAATGCAAATACAATGATACTGAAACTAGAGGTCATTCTTGAACAACATTTCTGGGCCTAAAACTAGAGCACCTTAAGCTTGTCTCTGCCGACATCATTGTGTGATGTCACGCAAGTGAATGGATGTATGAATCGATAAAATCTAAGCCGTTTACAATGATGAGAAAAATCATTTAACATGGATAGAAAAAACAAACCAAAATGCACAACATTCTTCAACCCATACAAGTTCAACTAATGGCCAAAATGACAACATCATCTAAAAAACCTACGAAAAAAACAAACCTTTCTGCGTAAGAAATCTGAGAAACAACAAACACTATACCCATATTATACATGACGTACGCAATCAAACCCTTTATGAATCTGCATAGACAATCGTTCGTGCGAAAGCATGACCAAACGAATTCCGAAGGAAGCAAATTTACAAATGAAGAAAATAAGCAAAAAAATAGAGTAAAGAATAAGTGAAAATAAAGAGAGTAAACGAGAGAGAAGCAGAAATTTGAAATTTGAGGAATAGGGTTACCTTCAAAAAGCTTCGAACGGCGAAATTGGTCTTCTGCCCAGAGATTCGCCGCTGGCGATGCGTTTGAACTATCCAGAGCTCGGAATCGGCGACGACTTGACGGAGCCTGCAGCGTAACTGCTATAAAGGCGATAACTTCATGGGAAGAAAAAGCAGATGTAATTACTAGGGATGGTCTGAAAACGGAAGCAAAAGGGCATGTAGCAACTGGGACTTGTCGGCTTCAACATAGCAAAAAAGAAGAAAAACGGAATGCATGATACCGGAGAATGGAGAATTATACCCGGAGGGGATCGCCGGTGAGAGAGGGAGAGGAATCACCGGAGAACCTTCTTTTTCCTCCCCCACTATCAGAGAATAATAATTTTCGGGGGAATTATACAAAGTTCTTCTCTTCTCTCTCTCTCTCCCTCTCTCTTCTTTTTTTCTTAGGGTTCCTGGTAAAGAAGTACAATGACTGCGAAATCTTTTATACGGTCTCGCCATTTTTATTCTATAATTGAAACGGTTATATTTTTTGTAAATTTGATAAACTTTGTGGATTTATTTACTAGTAGTACCACTCTTGGACTTCTTTGTATTTTTTTTTTTTGGGAAAAAAAGAAAAGTAAGAGAGCGTGGAATTTTCCTCACGCGCCGACGAGCAAGCCAGAAAACAAGTGTATCACACTTGCGAGTTCGGAAATGACGGTGTTTTTATCAAAGTACAAAAAAAATCAGCCACATCCACATATGGTGTTTTATTAAAGTTTACACGGAAACGTTTGTAAAGTTCTAAAATTTGCATTTGATTCAATTTACCAATATAAACAAGCCTGGCGATTTATATCTTCAAACGTCTACCATTTGATTCAATTTACCAATATGTTTTTTTCCGGTCACGGTCCATAAAAAAGCATATTTGTTATGTTTTAAGATTACTATATTATGAAGGTTGGTTGGTACAAGAACCCGAGTACAAGTACTATATTATGATGCTTTCCTGCTGTTCTATTCTATTCTAAGGACTTCTAAGGACTTGTTTGGTTTTGGAAGGTGTATATCGTTGGAGACCGAACAAACCATTGCTATTTTTTAAAAAAAAAAGTAGTAGAAAGCAAGATAACATGCTTCTAACCCAAACTGGTAGTTCAACTGTTGCAGGAATCTGTTTTATCTCACCATGCGATCTATCATAAGCCTCTGACCAAGGCTTCTAGAGGGAAGCCATATGAATATCTCCTATCGAGTTTGGGGTTCGAACTCGGGACGGGATAGACGTTTTGCGCTTCCGTTCGGCCCAAGATAGCCGGTTAACCCAAAAAAATAAAAAACATAACATGTTTTTAATCAGACAAAAGCTTGATCGGTCTCGGCCGTTGGCACAATGTGTACAAACAAGACATCGCATATACCCAGATGCTAATTTCACTATTGAAAACTAGAATTCTCATGAAAAACTTGAAACTCTAACTTTTGTATCATTAAAAATACATAATACAACATATATATATATATATATATATATATATATAGCTAGAATCCGAGGAAGGAACATTGTTTTCGTTCGTGCTCGGGTATTAGCTTCGCCAGTAGCTCTAAACTTGCTCCTTTTAATTCTGCACTTTTCACACCTTAAGCCACTTTAAGCGCTGCCATGGGCGCAAAGCCATTGCATTAGACAGAGTACACTAACTTAACTGACCTTGAGGTTTGAAGCTGAAGAGAGGAGGCAAGGGACGGCCATTGGGAAGGCGTGTATTCGGATCACGGAGCTCGTCAAAGAAAGGGTGGACTATAGCCTCCAACTAACATTTGTACAAGAGAAACAAAAATCATCACCAATACACTTCATATGCCTTCACAATGTACCACATCACATATAAGGATTTCTTTAAAGGGGCTCTACACACTTACAGCGGTGCACCTAAGGTTTGGAGAATACTGGAGAAGTCTTGAGACAAGGTCTGCAGCTTCTGGGGACATACGCTTATGGAATATCTATAAATACACAACACCATCATTGGATCAGTGGGGTTACCAAAACACCACAGGGAACATCCAATTGCGACTAATGTGTGTATTGCTTACTTTGTGCCAAGGGTGAGCCTTTATCTGCGGGAATTTGAACTCAGTGTAGTTAGGATTCATACATTTGATTTCTTCTCGGGTTGGTGTTCCAAGAACCTGCAAACACGATTGAGAAAAGAAGGCACTTATTAGGTGTCGAGTTTGTGCCCCAAACTTATCTAATTGGTTTTCGAGATTTGGTCATTTCCTGCCATAACAACCTCCTGATATGGGCTGGCCGTAGATTACATGAATCATGAATGCCCGCCTTCAGGCACATACGCTCAATAACTACCAGTGACAACACTGCTCATACAAGGTCTTGAGTAAACATACCTTAATAATCTCGACCAGCTGGTCCACTCCACTCTCACCTGGAAAAAGAGGCTACCAAATGTTGGAGCAGCCATAGGGGAAGACATGACATGTATGTTTAGACAACACTTGGGATCCATATTATGAGGCTTCAAGTGCAAATATTCTAGATTGTAAACGAACCTGTCCAAGAAGCAATTCAGCAAGAACACAGCCCGCAGACCATATGTCAATGGCAGTTGTATATTCCGTCGCTCCAAATATAAGTTCAGGTGCTCGATAGTAACGAGAGCAAATATATGAGATGTTTGGTTCGCCTTTGACCTGTTACAAAGTGACGGCCAAAATGTAAACTCTGATTATAAAATCATTCAAACGATAAAGGGTAAGAACCAGTAAAAAAATTCCATATCAAAACAGAAGTGATTTACATTTCACCACAAATGTCATACCAGGACTTTTGCACTACCAAAATCACAGAGCTTGACTTGATGTGTGTGAGGATTGACCTGCAAGAGGCAGAATGCCATTTTAGTAGAAGTGTGCAGACCAGCAAAGATAGATACCGCATGTTAACTAAAGGCACAAACCAAAAGATTCTGCGGTTTTATGTCCCTATGGCAGACTCCTACTCCTCCATGAATATATGCTAAAGCTCGGCAAATCTGCATTCGCAGCAAAAGATGACAAAGAAATCTGTTAGAAACAAACTACAACGTAATCAAACGAATTATTCTATATCATATGGTTCCTGAGACAGGGTTTTTTCTCGTGAGCAAGGATGATAGATTCTATTTATCCTCCGTTTATCCTGAACTACCTAAGATTCTATTTTCATTCCCACATTGACGCGCAATCATTGCCCTTCTCGAGAAATGAAAAGAGTCCCTAAAAGAGAGGATGAGCATTACCTGATATGTATAGAGTTTAACATATATCATGGGCATCCGCTGATTTGCCCGGCTGTAGTGTTTCGCGACACGGTAGACGGTCTCAGGAACATATTCAAGGACCAAATTGAGATATAATTCATCTTTGTCAGTTGTTGAGAAAAAACAGTGCTTGAGAGACACGACGTTAGGGTGATCAAGAAGCCGCATTGTCTGCAGCTCGCGGTTCTTGTACCTCTTGTCCTGCAGAACTTTCTTGATTGCAACAGCTTCCCCTGTTTCTAAACACTTAGCCTGCATATTCAAGCAGCAAAACCAGAAAAAACTTATCTGCCGAATGCCTTAGCATCAGCCGTGTCAATCAGATATTTAGGCAGCGTGATTGAAGTACAACCTGAAAGACAATTCCAAATGAACCCTGTCCAACGATGCGCTCTGCCATGTAACTTATGGTCTGAAAGAGAGAAGATAAAGCGCTGTGAGCAATAATGCAATAACGCAAACCATGGTCATTCTGCCACTCATGCGACATGCGCACACGTGATTTTTGTGTCAACTTCCTATCAGGATAGATAAAATCCTACACAAAACACATCAAATATGTCTATTCCTGCAACACCATATAAGAAAAACTAACCTGTTTAGGCTGACCATTTTTACCACCAATAGTTGTAACAATTATATGACCCGTTTCAGTTCCATTTCCATCGACCACAGCTGCTTCCATTTCCTGAGAGTCCAGGAGTCAGAAACAAAGGTTTCGAGCATTGAAACAAAAAAAATCCCAACCAAATAAGAGACCAAACTTGTCGACCTTGTCATCTTTGATCTTCATGTCATTAATCCCCTCGGGGAGTTTGTCAGCAATCAAGGAAGCATTGTTCTGTTTACCAGACACAGAAGTAGGAAGTGTTCCCCCAGAAGCCATATCAGCAAGTTTATCCGACAGTCAACCTGTCAGTCAGAAAGATCATAGGAAAAGATGACCCCAACACAGTGTATACACAAGCACACGCATTCATATGCATAATTAGTTCAATCCTTGGCAGTCAGATCCTAGGAAATTCAACTTCCCGGTTAAGTAAGAAACAAATTAGCTTATTTTCCCGGATAGAAAAATTGTAGACAGTCCAAAAAAACACCGACAAGGAGGGAGGCATCTGTTCCCACACGATCGGAGCTCATTTAAGCAAGAATCTCATGGAAAATAAACACCACCTGCTAACATCCAAGCTACATTTGATTCCGATCTACTAACAAACACAGAATCACAAAAACCAAGTATGCAGACTGTAATCCCCCCCCCCCAAAAAAAAAACTTTCCTTATGACGGCGTCACCAAGGAAAAAGGAAACATCATCAGAGCAATACCTGAATGTCTCGGAAAACTGCTCCACTGCATTAGCTCATCAACTCGGCGTCGAACAAGTAGAAACCCTAGACACTCCTCCACCCTTTCCAAAGTGGCAACTCTCTCTCTCTCTCTGTTGCAGGTTTCCCCCCCTTGTTTTCTTTCTTTCTTGGTGGCAGAAGCGGACCCCAACAGGCTGTTTCAAAGTTTAGTTGATAGTTAGTTTTGACGTCCGCCAACGGCAACACGTGGCGTTATCTGGTTGGATATAAGTTAGAGTCACGTCATTGTGTTGACTACTTTTAAAGTAGTCGGAAAATGTGCTCTGCAGACGCGGGTATCGTAAGGCATTTCAAGAAGACGGCTGGATTTCGAGGAAGAGACGGGAATCAAGCTACGTGGAGCAATGGACGGTTCAGATTGAGAGCGTAATGTGATTTTGCATGGGATGCATAAGTGTGCGTGCGTGTGTTTTTCCAAAAAGCCAAAGCACCACAAAAAGCGACAAGATTTGGAATGCGAAACGATGCCGTTTCGTGTAAGCGAATTTGACCGTTGGTTGAAGCGGATAAAGCAAGAGAAGCTGTGTCTGAATAAATAATAATAAATTAAAAGTTTATAGGAGTGAAAAAAAAAACAAGACCATCCCTCGAAGCTGTGTCCGAATAAATAATAATAAATCGTTTTGAACTCATATGGCTTAGTGTGACTAGCTCTCTCCGTCATCTCTTTCTTTCCCGTGACTGTATCTGTTCAGGACTTGGTCCTTCTTCTCGAGGATCATTGCAGACTTTTCCTGCTACAGCCTCCACGGATACTGTCAAGAACTTGATCTGTCATTCTATCAAAGAAAAGAAACACCACATCACCTTGACAAATATGAATAAACATCTAAAATCTAAATTCCACGAGGAAACCCTCTGATGTCATAAACCTTCAAGCTATTGAATTGAATCTCTTCTAGCCAAATGTTCAAAACGCTTTCCAACACGCTGTTCGATAGAGCAATGTTCTGTCTTGCTGTTCAATTCAATCATACTAAGATTCAATTTTCGGGGAAGAAACAACCTGCAGATGGTCAAATCAAGCTAAATTACAGTCATCCATTCTAATACAAAATTAATTTGACAATAAAACAGGATTCGTACATTAAAACTAATCAATGGGACCAAGGTTTTTTTATTTTGTTTTTCTCATTCTTTTTCCTGTAAAGTGAAATTTGAGAATTGACAATATAATTGCGTTTGCGGGGTCAAAAATTCCCTATGGATAAGTTGAAGCCTGGACAGCTGAAAAAAAGAAGAAAAGAAATGGAAATTCTCAAGGGAGTCTTCAATCTCAAAGCCGTCGACAGACACACAACACGGGCAGTGAAGGGAACCAACCACACAGTCAGCAAATCAGCAACACAAACTCGACACTTATGACATCTAACAACGATACAGAAGATATGCTATTAACGAACCTTCAAAAGGCTAACACATACTATTCTTCCTCCTCCACCGCCCCCATGGTTTCTTTCTCAGCAGTTTCATGCCTGAGATTGGCACGAACGATTTAGTTCAAAAATGAAGGAGTGGAAATCTAGTGAGCAATTCACAAACTAAATCTCTCACGAGAACCAACCTTGCTAGCGATGTTGTTGGAGAGCCAATCAAGGCCTTCGTAAAGACCTTCCCCAGATGTTGCACATGTACTCTGGATGTACCTGTTTCAGTAAAAACCCGATTATATTCTTTCCTTGTTTAACCTCTTTCTACATTCTACCAACATGTGAAGCAACAAGCGTAGAAAGTAACTTTTTTTTTATTACCAGTGGCGTTGGCGGAGAGAGTGAAGGCCCAGCTTGTCGGTTATTTCTGCAGCATTCATTGCGTTTGGAAGATCTTGTTTGTTTGCAAACACAAGCAGGACAGCATCTCTCAGTTCATCCTGCAACAAATTCATGCCAAGATTACCTTTAGAAACAATGGGTTTCCATCTTTATGTGGATACCACTGGTCACAACCCAACACAAAGGGAAAACAAATGTTTAACCTCGTTCAGCATGCGATGCAACTCATCCCTTGCCTCCACAACCCGGTCCCTGTCGTTGCTGTCAACAACGAATATCAGACCTTGAGTGTTCTGGAAATAGTGCCTCCACAGCGGACGGATCTGTTTTTCAAGTGCCCAAATATTATTAAATCATGCAAGGACTTCAATCGGATGAGCAGAGAAGATTGATAGATCCAGGACTTAGATGTACAAATTCACTTTTCCGCTTACACGAGCGTAGTATGTATATACACATGGAATGCCAAAGATCAGAAGTAGCCATTCATAATACACTGTTAAAACTTTGACCAACTTAACAACTAAAAGCAGAAAATGAGAATATGCATAACATGTATATTCATTCCTCTACAATTGAGACGTGTACCTTGTCCTGACCACCCACATCCCAAACGGTGAAACTGATGTTCTTGTACTCTACGGTCTCCACATTGAACCCTGACAGCAAAATGCACTCACACTATTAAATTCTGAGCAGCAAGCCATTCACCATCATAAAACCAGAATTAGAAAGTGTAGTTTATTTCTCAATGTTGATCTTAGGGCTAAGGATTCAGGCAACTATGCAATCAATCAATAGACACAAGAGCTAGATCTGAGTGACATGATGCAGATTAATTTGAACCAGACAGTTAAATAGATGCTACAACTTCAAGTGTTTGCTTCCTAAACAAATACATGCCTACGTATTGATGGATGGCACGCGTAAAGGAATCATGAAACTTACCAATGGTTGGGATGGTAGTGACAATCTCACCCAGCTTCAGCTTGTATAAGATTGTAGTTTTACCAGCAGCATCAAGGCCAACCATCAGAATCCGCATTTCTTTTTTCGCAAAAAGCCGGCTGAACAACTTTGTGAAGCTGAGACCCATTTTTCACTGTCTTATAAGCCCTGCACCAGGCAAGATATCCCAACAGAGAAGTCAAGAAAATTACTAAAAATGGGAAAATGTCGTTAAAACCAGAAGAAGAAGAAGACATGTAGGTTGAAGTAAAACAGAACATACACCAAACTTTAAAAAAAAAAACGAAATCAGAAAACATGAACCACTGACTAATTAAATCGGATCGATCGCATCAAAATTCAGACAATCTGAACAAAGACGTCAGACTTGCCTACTCTTACGATAACCAGAGCCCTATGTAGCTAGAAACCAAGGGGATCCATGAGTTCCAAACTGAAGCTTAAAGGATCTTTTGCTCGCAAGACACTAAACGCCGGATCAAATAACATACCCAAATTTACGGACCACAAATCATGCGCAAGCAGAGGGAAAATTCTTTATAAGCGAGGAATTCAAAGAACAAAAATTGCAGCCTCCATCCAAACTAAGTAACAGACAAAACAATTCGACAACATAACCAACAGATTCATACATCACCAAGGGAGAGAAAATATATATCAGCAAGAGGATTTAACGGATCAAATCACTGATACCTCAAAAGCGATGGGTAGACAGATCGATTGCCGGAGAAAGGAGGGAAAAAAATGAAAGGAATCGAACGAAGAAATGAATGAGAATTTTACCTCTGGAGAAGCTGCAAAGAAGGGATTCGTGTCGGAGGGAGAGAAGGAGCCGCGAGCTTCGTACGAATAACGGGCGTCTCTCTCTCCTCTCATTTATTTACGGGCGCTCCAATAATAGAATTTTGCGAAAATGGGCCTCAGGTTTCAGTTATGCTCGATGTAAGCCCCAAAGAAATCATTATTTTCAGCTAACCCTGAAAGAGTTTGGTTTATTCAAATCTTTCCCCTGGACTAGGGCCCGGAAAAAAATAAAGAAAATTTGGTTTAAAAACCAGTAGGGACTGTTATGAAAAATCAGTAGAGCCAGCCATCCAACTGCATGAAGAACGCAAGAACGAGGTTTGCAAAATGCATGCCTGGAAATAATAACATCGTACTTCTCAGCCCATATGACATAATTCGGTACGTGCAAAAACATCAGGCAACATCCTCATGAGATACGGCATCGCATGTTCTCAACCCATCATAAGACATACACCACCACCAATCCACAAATCATTCTACGCATACAGACACACACACGACAGAGAGAAAGAAGCAAGACACTACACACCAAATGTACGGTTATCATCTGAGTAAGCGCAACCACTTTTTAATCACCGTAACAGGACAACCCACAGACGTGTTTGATAGATTCACTTCAGTCGTCAATTGGGTCTGAGGGAGTTTCCTCGGCACTGCGTTTGATGGTGATAACAGGGCACTCCGCATGCTTCACACAGAATTCGCTCACCGTCCCCACAAATACCCTGTCACTCCATTCATTCTTTCGCAAATTAACACAGCTTAACAACAACACCACTAGTAATTTGGTAATTTCAGGCAAGGGGAAAAATAGAACAATCTAACAGCAAGATACGTTTGTCATATCTTATTGCGTGCGTTTTAGATGTATCAAAACAGTACCATAACTAACTACTTCATATGGGTATAAAGCAGTAACTCGAGTAAGAATGTGTGGATTTGTACATACTTTTGGAATGGGCCAAGACCGCGACTTCCCACAACCAGAAAATCTGGTTGGACGCGTTTCACTTCATGGCAGATCACTTCTTTAGGATCTCCTTTCTTGATCCAAGCCTCACAGCTAACCTACAAGTGCTAAAACTAGGATTTGTAATAACCCCAAGGGATCACCATAATCCCCGTAACACAAGAGGGAACGAGAAACAGATAGACGGACGTGTGCTTCTTCATTAGTTAAAGAGTCTGTTACCCCAATCTCATGGCATTTCTTGACAAAGAACTCGAGAAGACTTAGGCCTCTTGCCCTGTCTTGCTCTCTCAGGTTTCGGAAATCTTCAGGGGAAGCATATATGCTATCCATGTCATCGAAACCTAGTCTCCAAAAGACAATGAGCAAACCAAGCGAAGAATGGTTTAGTTTTATCTATGCTGAAAATAAAACCAATAGAGCCAGTTTCTTGAACTATGGCCATTTGCTGGGTTTCTTACTGGCCTGATAAATGACAGAAAGAGGCAAAAAAAAAATGCTATATCACATTGCTCTCGATCGGTGGGGAGAGGTGAAATGAGAAGGAAAATTGACAAGTCCTGTCTTATATCCCCAACAATCAAACTGGATGAGCAGAGTAGCCAAAGTATATCGGTAGCATAAAACGCCAATCTATAACCAGACACAGATTTTGGTTCCTTATTCTAACACAAACGCTGAAATTTTCTTGAAAAACAAAACACAAGTTCACGACCAGAGGCAATCCGAGAGACTCATAGCAAATGAAAACCAATCACATTCCACAAAACAAGCTATACATATTTCTCCACATAAGATCAAATTTAAATATAGAGCAGAAGTAAAGCTTCTCCAAACCCTAGAAATAGATTATGCAAACCACCACTCAAGCAGGATACTGCATTTTACGGACAAACTAAATATGGGATCCAACATCACGTAGAGGCATCAAGAGAGAAGAGCAGAATCAAAACTATAACCCATTTCAAACTCCATAGGAAAACTCAAAAAGACTCCACCAGACCATCACCCACGCCGACAAACAGCATGAACATGATGATATCTTCCCATCACGCGATAGAATCACCCAGATATAGCAGAAACATCGAAAAAGAATTAAAGCAATCTCATAACTTCAAACAGATACAAATAACATCGTTACTCAAGCCTCCGATCACGATGACAGACAGATAGGCGACAACACACACACGTATATGTATCGAGAGACAGAGAGAGAGAGAGAGAGAGAGCTAACCGTCTTCGTCGGGAACTTGGACGTGCATCAATAGAAACTTGAAGCCGGAGGTGTTGGAGCGGACGATCTTCTGCAGAGTCCACTCGAAAGCTCCCCTGCTGCTTATTGACGGGTGCGGATAGCCTTTGATCGTGGAAGCGTTCACCGCCACCATCACCCGAGTTGGCTCGCCTTCCATTTCCCACCGAGTCACCAATTCGTCTCTCTCTCTCCTTCCCTTCTCGACGCCTCTGCAGTATCCTGAGGACTAATCAGATTGATCGTCTCCTCTCTTTCTTGGGGAAGACCAATTGTGAGCGCACGGCGCATCCGTGCGCACGATAGTAGAGAAATTTGAGGTGTCTGCTAAGATGCGCAGGGGCAGTTACGGGCCAGACACCAGGTCGAAAAATGGGTGAGTCAGACGGTGTCCATTTGTCCTCGTGCGATAGTGTGGAAATACCTAAAATACCCTTCCGGCTGATTGGAAAAAAAAAGTAGATAATCGAGGAGCGTCGGTGGGCCTTTCCAGTTGGCCCATAAAAACAATTAATTTTAAGCCCATTCTTGATAATAACAAATTGTACCGTGGGATTCCAAAGAGGAGATAGAATAAACAATAAAACCAAAAATAGATTACAGATGGTGGAATTTGTATATAATATTATGAATGGTTATTTATTTGGCTAAGAGTGGTTCAAAGTTTAAAAGGTCTAGAGAAGCGAGATATGTGCATTAAATGTGGAGTATTTATTTGGTTATGTTGCATGGGGAAGTGAAGGAGATGAATTAACTAATCAGGTAACAAGAGATGCTTAGAATTCCCTAAAGACTATCACTGAATTCCAGTGAATGAGACTCTGCCAAATCCCAAGTGACCGATCTGATACAACTCCAACCACACCCTCTCGGCCTCCACCCTCGCACTTATCCTGTCTTCGTCCTCCGCCCCAAACGACGCCGTTTTATCCTCCTCCTTCGTCAGGCTTCCGTCTCTCTCCACCACGAAACTGTGGTCGTCTTCCCCCTCCGCCGTCGCCCGGCGAAACCCATCTTCCCCTCGGCGCCTCCTCCGCCGTCCTACTCTGCCTCCCCCGAGACATCGCCGGCCGATCATCCACGGGACCTTTACGAAGGCCAGAGTCAGCAGGTTGACGACGGCGCATGGGCAGCAACAGAGCGCCACGCAGTCGGCGATCGCCGCCGCCGCCGCCGATCTGCACTTCTTGCCGGAGCATTTTACTCCGTCGCCGTCGTCAGATTGGTGGTTCTCTTCGGCGCCGCTGCTCCTCCAGTGGGCCCCGCCTTGGCTTCTACGTGAAACTCGATGCGGGTTTTCCTCCATTTTAAATTATAAAACCCTGCAAGGAAAAAAAGGGGACTTAAGTCACTGCATGTGTGTGTATGTGCATCATATACTTTACATACATCCATACGTATGTATATATATATATATGCACACATATTTGTCCATATTAACGTGTGTGCAGTGAATATATATGGTTTAAACTTTGAAATTTTTTGCTTACAAGTTGATACGTATAGGAAATAGTAAAACAGAGAGGTAGGAAACAGCAACAGAGATTTTCCATGCACTTTCACTTAATGACCAGACAGTTCAGGTAGATTCAAAATTCGCTCAATCGCCTCGTAGGCGCGTCTCATGCACGCCCTTTGTGTTTGGATTTAGCACGCTTACAACACATCCTTTGGATTCGAGGCTTTCCAAAAGTTTTTATTAGGTTCTGATGGAAAATTATAAAAAAAAAATGCAAATGAGGAAAAAAAAATAATTTGGTTATAGCTAATTAATGTACGGTTTTAAAAAATTAAAAATCTTGTCTCGGACTTTTTTTTTTTTGTTATTTGATGAGTAACAGCATATTGTTGACCAGGAAAAATATAGTTTTCGAATTAATAATTATAAAAAAAAAATATACATTGGGATAAGTAAATGCTTTTATATTGGCCCCTCGTGGTTGCTGGACAAAAAGGGTTAGTAGTAAGACATTGAATTGTAAAACTTAATCAATGCATTTTTTTTATAAATATTAATCAATGCATTTCCAAAACACAAAAACAGTTTTACACATTTGGAAAACTTTTTTTTTAATGTAAATATCATACATATTGGAATTTTTTTAATATACACTACTCGTAGCTATAACTTGGAGTTTAAAAAATGGCTGTGAATATACACAAATGCCCAAAAACCCATTTTATAAATTTTCGCTTTATCATCCCTCAAGGGATAATGTATAGAAATTGTTTCATGAAAAATAAAGAAGAAATTTAAATAACCGATAAAAAAATTAATAAAAGATTATGAGATAACGTGGGTGGTTAGTGGGAGAGATTCTTCCTCACATGGGTTGTCCGGTCACAATATGGCCCAAATAACGTGGCCCATCGCAAAACTACAATATATATATATATATATTATTTACAAAGTCCATTTATCTTAAACCTATAAAATAATGCTCCTAGAAAGTCTACAAGGAATCTCCCTAGGATTTTTTAAGCAACATTTTTTTTATAATTTGATCATGAACGAAGAAGTTGCTTTTGACCCTTGCAAAGGCTGTGTGAAAGTTATATTTTTCTGTACCATTATTTATAAAGTTTTTAAAAAATAATAGTCAATTAAGCTGTAATACATAATTAATTAATTCAAACCGAAACTTTCAAGTGATTTTATGCAGTGAAAAATAAAACGATATTTTTTTTTACAAACACTTTATTTCACACATATAGTCGATGATGGTTAAATTTCATTTCTCTACGGTGATCGCATTTTTTTGGGGGGGTAGTTTCGAGTTTTGACTGTCATTAGAAATTTACGAGCGTGTAAAAACAAATGCATTTATTGTTTTCCATTACATCAAATGGTATGGTTTCAACTCCTAGCAAATTTTAACCAAAAAAAAAAAGGTGCAGTTACCATTTTATAACGACGATTTTTTTACAGTGTTATAACAGTAACAAAACACAAACAAAATGGGCATGCAGTCAGCCTAATAAAAACAGCATATTCCTACGTAAATAAATAGAATTTTATATTTTGCGAATTAACAATGCTAAAACTGCACAAAATGCAAATAGAAAAAAAAAAAAAAAAGAACAGGAACATTATATATAAACCCAGTTGATGATGGAGAAATATGATACGCACCTCTGGTCTGGGCCGGAAGACTTTGAGTATGAACTTGTTGATTTTTTGTCTGGGAATGTATATATACGCAAAACAACAACAGCAGCAACACAAAATGCTGCTGTGTGTTGTTGGGAGTTTGGGATATTGAAAATCTGGATTGGGTTCTGAGTTTGAAAGATGCAGAAGAAAGAAAGAAAGGAGGAAAGAAGAAGCAATGTGATATGATCTGGAAATGCCCCGTTTATATATATATACCTTGTATATATAATGCTTCTCCTTTTTTCTATCTATTTATTTATTCCTTTTTCATAACTCATGTGTACGGCTACGTGAATTTTTTAAATCCATTGCTAAAGGTATCTTCGGAAGAGTGAATAGCATTTATATTTTATACTTGGACCCAAACGTATATATGTATATATGCAAAGGGTATCTTTGGAATTGTGAGGCATTTGTATTTTATATTTCATACATAATAACGTATCTATTATAAATCCAGAAGTACATATATATATATATATATTTTTATAAAATGGTAACTGTCATCTAGTTTTCATTACGATAGTGGGTGATTAATTTTAAAAAATTGTATCAAATACTGTGAACCGGGTTGAAATCATCTAACCATTACTGTACCGAACGGGGTTGTTTGGTACGAATAGCATAGGGAATACCGGACGAGCTTGGTGTTTGATGAGTCCCGAAGACAGAGAGAATCAAGTCATGGGAACTCGTCCCCTCTCTCTCTCTTTATTTGTTTATTCGTTGAAAGACGAAAAATGCCCGCATCAGAGTTATTCCATTCATATATATATATATATATAGTTTTGAAATATATTAATCATATATATATGTTATTGTATTTAAATAAATTGAAAACACAATCGATTTCAACTTGATATGTGTGTACAAATATCTCTAGCTAGTGAGATCATTCAGGTACATTGTCGATTACGAGTATTCATATGAGATTAAATTTGTTTATGTTTAATTTAATTTTGGTAAGTTGTGTATTTCAGTGAGGTTAGAGCAAGGGGGCAGCGTCGTCCTCGCCCTCTCTCTCTATCTGCCGCGGAGCAGCGTCCTGCTGCCTCTGTCGACAAAAACACTTTGCATGAGTCATGCACGTGCGTCCTTCTCCCGGACTGCCACGTCAGCTTACATGTCGCAGTTCGAAAAAAGGCTCTGTTTTCTTTGACGTTTCACCGTCCACACGGCCCCTCAGTCCTCATATCATTCGTTATGCTTCTTTCCGCACTCTCCAGCCATACTCCGACACGTGTCTCGCACCAGCCCACGAATCGCCTGCGCGTGTTGGGGTAAAACGCTTCCCTTTTCCCCCCTTCCAGTAGCCTATTGAGACTACATGTGAGATGGAGTTAAACCATTCGTTTTGGTTACATCTTCAATTTATGGATATCTCTCTCTACGATTTGCTCGTGTCCACCCACCCGTTAATCTACCAAATTAGAGTAGCATACCAACTCTGCATAGCCTTTAATCAAACAAAACCCATCATGCATGCATGCACATTACAATAAATATCATATTAATCATATATATATATATATGTATATAAAAGAAGAAAAGAATTGACGTGGTAGATTCATATCTAAAATAACTATTGGATTATGTAGAGATGTATGGTGAGGTGGATTAGGTCTGTTGAGAGCAGCTAGTGAGGGTCCTGGACATGAGATGAAGAAGCTTCTTGTCGGACAAAACGGAGGAGGGGGGATGGCCAGAGTGGCCGCAGAGCTTGTGAGGGTTGATGCCGATGACCTTCGCGAGCTTTTCGGCGGAGTGACGACACATTACGACGTTGTCGAAACAGATGTATCTCCCGGAGGCAGAGGCCCTATTCATTCCCTCGAACAAGAAGACGTGGGCCTTCGCCACCCTCTTCACGTCCACCGTCGCCAGTACTCCCTTTCCGTACATCTCCTCTGCTCCTGCATGCGCCACCTCATTTGTTCAGTTGTTTATTTATCAAGTTTCAACGCCTCCTCCTGTGTACCTCGCCCACCCTCCCGTGAAAAGTACCCCCTTATCACTTTTACCCACCCTTAATTCATTGCAAAAGCATTCTCTCTATCGTTTCTCGTTTTCTTCACCATCCACGACAAAACCCCATTTCTCTTTATATATATATATGTATATGTATATGTATATGTGACTCTATACGAGAAACAGGATGTTTTTGTTTTTGGGGTTTACCTTTGAGATAGGCCAAGGTTGAAGTGGGGTTGCGGGGGAAGAAATCAGGGCCCGTGATGAGAGCAGGGCATATAGTGGCAAGCTTCAAGCCTTTCTCTCCCGCTATTCTCCACGCTGCCTTCTCCGCTTTCAATTTCCCCAGTGCATACCAAAGCTGCCATACATGTGTGCATACATATTCCATGAGATCTCACCACAACCAATCATGTGAATGTGTTACTTCCATCTCTCTTTTTTAATATGCCTTGTCCACTTGTGCCAGTTCCATTACTGACAGACCAGATTCATATATCCATCCATGAGAATATCACCTACTTCTACAACATTTTAACTTGATTAGACAAGTTCTCTCCGAATTCCGCAATCATTCGATGACATAAAACAGGGGACTCTCCTCTAACCTCTGTTTCATGATATTATATGTTGGATATATAAGACAAGGAAGACGGGAGAGAATCACAAGTTGCCTATCACCTTTTTTTGGGTGCAAACTTGTTCCTGACTCCAGCACTCGTCGTTCACAACCGCTGGGAGGTCACAGAGGGAACCATCTTGCCAGATGCAGGCCAAGAGCGAAGAAGTGAACACGCACTTTCTTACTGATCCAGTCCTCGTACACGCCTCTATTACGGCCTCACTCACCTTCGCTTCTAACTCAGCCATGGATTTCTGGGGCAAAAAAAAAAAGAGAGAGAAATTTGGCAGCCCATCAATAGACATAACCAGACAAGGCTAACTAACCGAGTCAAGCAAAGTATCTCCAAGACAAATCAAAATGTGAGTTACATTGTTATTACTAAATTCTAGAATGACAAAACGGTAAAAGCTTCATCCGCAATGAAGCAAATTTGACCTGAAGATAAGATTGAGCATTTTATCCGTGTTCGTGTCAATTCTGAGCACAGGTAAGCAAATATTGCAAGGCATGAAATATGTCAACCATGCAATCTGAAGTACAGAGAGTTGAAAAAAATTATGCAGCCTCAATGCATACTAATCCCCCCTCGGGTAGGTCATGAAAAAAAAAACTAAGCATTTCATCAAACAATCAGAAGTAAGAAGATCAGTTAGAGAGGTGGTGGGGCCATGCAAAATTAGTAGTAATAAGACAGGACACGCGTAACTTGGAAAATGGAGGTAGGTTTGTCTCAATTTCAAAGAAATGGAACATCATATGACGGCACTAAAGGTTTTGCGGCCAGGGGTGGAGTGGCATCGTAAGCAAAGTGATGGTCTACTTCAATCGTAGACGCAGAGATGCCGCCCTCTCATGTGGCACCAAACCAAACCTCCCATGCAAATTTTGAACCTTTCCTTTAAGTGGGTAGCATAAGGCAAACACCGTTGATATTTCAAGAAAGTCGTCAGATCATTGAAAATTTTGGAGCTCTTCTTCCAACAAATTCTAGAAATCTAAGCCACTTAAAGTACCTACCTACGTCATCCACAACTAATTCCAGAGACACCGCACTGGGGTGGGACCAAACGACGAATAAGTCAGATGTTCTTCTAGAAGCACCATGTGGAAAAACATACTCTTCACACTTCCAACATGCTGCCCCTTTTTTCTTCCTAATGTCCACACGTTGTTATCAATGCATTAAGATACGCTGAAAAACGAAATATGCGATTAGGTAACCCTCAGTTTCTTGTATATCACTTAACTAGCGTGGTCGCGGCATGGACTGATATTCGCTTAACAGAGCAACTTCTTTGAAAGAGTTCGAACATGCAAAGTGATGATGACATGTGAATGCTGTGTCTCTGTTTGTGCTCGTGTATACCCATACGCATCTACGCAGGTGTGCATGTGCACAACATACGTATACGTGAACGTATCATGTCATATCAAATGTATATTAAATCAGAGGAGGAAAGAGAAACGGTAATCTTACCGAATATCCAGAAATCCCAGCCTGGTCTATAAACGCGGAGGTATGGAAAACCCCAAAACACCCATCAAATGCTTGAATTAGGCTTCCGATATCGGTTAATCTAGCCATCACTGCGCTAATCCTGTTGTTAAACGATGCCGTTTCTCCGGAGATCCCCATCTCCCTCACTTGTTCTTCCTCCTCTGAGGAAAGCACGATGGAATCAAATCAATTCTCAGAACACAAGTAAAAATTATGAGGAAGAACGAGCAGATACGGCGCGTTCTCTGGGCAAACCCCCACTCTTTTGAATTTCTGTTTACTGGGATGTTGAGCTACAACATTATTTGGGCAGACTTAAGATCAAACAGTTTATTGGAGGTCAACCAAACAGAAAAGCTTGAACGAGGAACAGTGACTCTGGGAAGAAATATGCCGAAACTTGGAGCACATTTGCTTGCTGAAGTAAAGCAAAGCGGATCAAATTACCTGGACTTGCGACGACGATTCTGACGGAGTACCCGTGAATGAGGAGCCGCTCCACGACGGCGCGGCCGAGGTAGGAGACGCCGCCGGTAACACAGACGAGCCTGTTCCCACCGTCGGAGTCGAGATCCTCCAGATTTCTCGATTTACCACCGCGCGCACCTCCGAGTCCGTCGTCGTCCTTCCTCCTCTGCACGGCGGCGCACATGAACTCCTGGAGCTCCGCCGCGAACTCATCGGACGTCCGTAGAATCCTCATAGCCGGAGTGGGTGATGCTGCAACTCTGCAACTTGTTGGCTATTGAAATGGCGAAAGGTGGAAATGGCGCAGATGGAAAGGAGAGAGGAAGGGCGGTATATATAGGGGCGAGAGGGTAGGAGGCAGTTACGCGTCACGCGAGAGGCGAAGCGGCCGAAGCCTCTCATGATCTTTCCAAGAAAACAGTTAAGTTGGTGACGGCTCGGCTTCGGCTCTCTTTGACGGCTAAGATGAATATTGCACGTTTCAGGTCAAATCCAAATAACATACATAGAAAAATATTCACATGGAAAAATGTAATTACAAGTCTATATACGAAGAATGTATGATATTTATCTTAACTTGAGGTTAGATTTCTAATATTTGTATTTCATTAATTTTACCGTACATACGGATATATACGAAGAATATATGGATTCCCCGTTTTTTGATTAAAGGGCGCAACCTACATAACCCATATAAACACGCCTTCGTATTTTGAGAATATATCAATATATGGTAGACTATACTTTATTTTTCCTCTTATAATTCACATGGAGTCATATTTCTCGTGAATGTTGTACCAACAATTTATAGTATCATTCTATGTCATTTTACAAAACACTCAATACACTCGAGTACATGATTATATATATATATATATATCACATTTAATTTGTTTTATATATACGTAAACAATATATATATTAATTTACTATATATTTTTTATATCCTTTTTTCTCTCTATATATATGGTTTATCATTTAATCCATGAAAGTCATCGAATATTTCCTTCTTGATATAATTTTGTCATGTCATGTGATGCATTTAGATATCATACACTCACATGGTTTCTTTTAAAATACGGAGCTAAGTCTGGTAGCAATGTAATGGATGATAATATGTCCTCATTAAACGATGTATAATGTCCAAACTTGATTATAGAGGTCAAATCACGTCTTCTAACTACGGTCCAAAAAGTCAAATAAAATAAAAAACGGAGAAATTAAATGAAAATATGGGTCAACTTTATACTTCAAATGAATAATAGAATCTCCAAGCAAATTGTGCTTACACACTGCAACCATAATCTAACAGGGTCCATGGTAAAAGCAACTTTATTGAATATTTTTCTAGCCATGTTTTAAATTTTAACCTTATTGCTACACGTTTTCTTTCGCTAAATAATAACAAATCTTGTAATAGGTGGTGACTAAAACACTGCTCTTGCTTAGAAGGTCTTGTAAAAGACGAAAGGTAAATATATGTGTCGGTCCATCCACGTTAATTTATTCCATGATCTCACTAATAAGAATAGCTCGAACGATTTTTGTCCACACAAATTAAATATTTATTAATATCAGTGTTATTAGATATAGTTGGATTGATCGATGTTATTAGATATATAGTTGGGTATCATCATTATTAATATCAGTGTTTACAATCTACCATTTTTTTGGTCAATTTCAATAATGAACGGATACGAAAGTCAATTTTTGGGTTCTGCCTTTGGGCCAACCTTTTATACATATGCATATGTGCTCCAACTACGACTTTTTTCTTCAAGGTGGTAAAAATAATACGAAATTATTGTTTATACAACTCGTTGTTTCTATATATCATGATATGAAATGCAATTTTGTGGTTCATACTCATAATTACAACTATAAATTGGAATAAAATAAAAACGGGTATATCTCTCTCGAAAATTATAAAACACAAAAGTTACACGTCATTTTATTTCATTTCAAATCCATGAATTAATTGGGTTATCCCTCAGAAAGGCTAATATATATACTAATTAAACCATGTGACCGATAACATATGGGACGAGAATATTACGTAAATGTTATACCACTACAAAGGGAGAAGAACAAAATCAACGGTCTACAAATAACGAAATAATATATAATACAAAGAAAAAAAAACCGGTCCACGCACGCACCGGGTTTAGGAAGCTGATCATGAAATTTAACCTAAATCAATTTGATAATTCCATTATTATAAATAATACATGGAACGTCAAGGCAGCAATGATTCTGCTTAAACGGCTCTGATCGGCTCGGCTGTACTCAGGAAAAATACCGCCGCCGCCGCCGTCAAGTGATGTACGGCCTCTCAAGAGGGGTCAGTCAGTTGCAGCGTTATGCTAAAATGACAGTCCCGTGACGGAGTCATAGTTCTTGGTTGACGTGGAAGGATGCGATTGGCTCTTTGTCATTCCTGGGTCATCCCAGTGTTAATAGACCGTCGGATCAGAGTTGACCCCCGTGATAATCGTGTTGTGTGTTGTGGTCGTCGTAAAGTATTTTTTTAAAATAAGGAAAATGACACCTAAATATAGATTGAATAGAGTATTTTCTCTATACATTATGCGGTAAATCAAAATAATTCCTTATGCATGTATTTTATTTCTACCGTCGAAAAAATAATTATTCAATTTGGGCCATAGGATGTTTTTCACGGTAGCCCTAATTTTTTGTATAAAAAAATAAAACACGAGCTAAAATCTATAGCACTATGTTTATCTCTTTATTGATCATTCATGCATGACAACAACCGTATTTATTAAAAATCGCTTCATGCATGCACTGTATATGCGTAGAATATGTACACACGTGAACGAGTGCAATTTGGGCTTTTAATGCAAAATATGAATCTTAATGGGCCTAAAGTCACAGGTTGCGGTGAATTCGACACGTAAACGGCGTCGTTTGCTGGCAACGAACACGCGATCGCCTTCTCGTCGTCGTTCTTACGAAAGGGGAAAAAGAAGAAGAGCTACAGAGAGTGAGAGGATGGACAACTTGGCCGAGAATTTTCCTGTGCGCCATAGACAGTTCTCACTCGAAATCAAGGTGGTTTTCAACCATTTTCTCTGGAGTTTTCTCGGTCGTTCTCGACGATTCTTAGTTGGGTCCTTGGCGATAGTAGTTCAATTTTCAGTTTCTTTTTTAAATTATTTGATTATAAACTTAGGTCTGTTCGTTTACTGCTAATCCTGTCCTGCGAAGTGGTGTCGATGATCATCTCAGTTGAAAGCGTATCGAATTCACCGCAACCTGTGACCCATTTTCTTTTTTTCCTCGGGAGATAGATTGCATAAATTGTTTAAATTTACTTGTGATGGTGATGGGGTTGCAGAATTTTGCTTCTTTTCGTTTGGTTATCCAATGCGCAATGATTTTATGTCCTTTTTTTTTTTCCCTTTCTTTGGCGTTTTGCTCAAATTTGTGATGAGTGGTGCTGCTGATTAGTCCAGATGAGCACTTCTCGTTTATCAAATCTGTGCTAGGGCTTCCTTTTTTTTGTCTTGGAATAGAAACAAGCTTCTTATCCTGGTTAGATTCATGATTTCTGAAGGTTTTTATTATATAGCTTTGAATCTAATCTAATATGACCAGTGATTGGTTCGTGTTGGGTTCTTGAACGTATACATGGAATCTTGATTCTTGAATGTTCTTTCCCCGCTGGAAAATGGGCGTAGCCCATGGTACTGAGTTCTTGTTCCCCTTGATCGGTGTGGAAAATATGAAGATATCGTTCATTTTCTTGCTTTCTTATCTAATTTTGACCCCCTTGACAGGGAAACAAGACAGACACGGTTATTTGCAACTATGAAGATCATATCCTTGTGAGTATTTTTAAGATCAGTTATTTCAGACCTTAATGTTTGAATGTGAAATGCTGTGTCTGACTCAAAAGGAATTGCCTCAGGTGTTAGTGACACAGATTGGAACCATGGGAACCATATTGCACGCGAGGTCTGTGATAAAACGTTCTTGTTCAAACAGTAATCACATATTTTTCTTGTTTTTTTGAGTATATTCAGGACGTGTGCCGTAAAAGACGAACAATGAATATGTGCTTAAATCTAGGGCAGCTCCTTGTGGTCAACGATCAAATTTTTTCTAGTCATCTGATGGTTGCAGAAACCACAAAAACATAACAGCACAAACAGTTTCTTTGATTGTAACACAAGACATTGATGCTATGATCTGGGAAAGAGCAAACTTGATTTTTGTTTTTCTTATTTTCCATCTCCTTTTCAAGTTTGTGGTTTTCAAGCAATTTATTGATTGCAAAAGGATCTTTGAGGTATCCCAGACTTATTCTTCTTTTGCAGGAAGGAAGAAGGGATGTCCGTTGAACCAACATTTAGTGTCTCTGTCATATTTGGGAAGCGGGATGAAGTAAGACGGATCTCTCATATAAATCCCCCCCCCCCTTTTTTTTTCTATATTGCATGCCTTCCCATAGTCGATTTCAGTTTATTTGATGCATATGTATAGCATGTATGCTGATGTATACATGGATGTATGTTCTTACATAGTCACACGTGCATAATACATGTAGTCTAACCATACTCAAAATTTTCTGATGGGTACCTTCTTACACATGAAAAAGCCACTGCTCACAGCAACTGCTCGCAAACTCATTGAACATATAAGGTCTGTTTCTTTTATCAAAGTCTTGTCCTTCTTGTGTTCTCTCTCTCTCGGTTTGATGTTACAGACAAGATGACATGTCTCTGTCTTGTACGTTATGAAGTCATTCTGTCCCCTCGAAGCCACTGGTTCTATCACTCGGTCTCAAAGAACATTCGGCGGTACCATTTCTTTTAGCATGTGGCAGTTTATGTTTTATTGGCATCACTTGTGTCTGAAGGCCGTTGAATGGATGATGTTATCATATGTGTTGCAGGAGACGTTGAAGGAAATTGTTGCGGCTGTGATTGAGAATCGCCTCTGGTAACACTTGTGCTGTTTCCCCAACCTCTACTTTCATAGTAGAGGTAACCCTCTTGTCCTATAGTTTCTGCTTTTGTCCTCCCCCCCTTTCTGGTCGTCCCTACAAGGAATTGCAGAATCTTTGTTTCATTGGGCGTGCAAAAAATATACTATTTTTTCGCCTTCTTTTTAATTTAAAAATCCTTGGATTGTGTTAGATGGCACATGAATTGCAGAATCTTTGTTTCAGAAGAATTGTACATTAGATAAAGGCAACATATGCGAGTTCTTGTGGGTTTTTGTCTGCTTGGTGTGTGGTTTTGGAGAAAGATGATATTCTTTTAATGATTTAATGAGTATTTGAGCTTATAAATACGGATAGTCTTCCCACTTGCAAAAAAGAGCGAGTCATTGCTGGCAAAAACTGTATCGCAAGGAACCATAATCACAAACACATCCCTAACTAAAAAAATAGGAAATAAATAGAAAAAAACTGTGTAGAATAAGCAGTATAATAAATTACAGCAAGAATGTTACGTATAAATATATATGAGAATTTATTCTTTGACGGGAATCAGCTTAGGCATTCTCGTTCTCAGGTCTCAATCTCTTGCGCCTCGTTTTTCTTCCGAACCGTTTAACTGAATTTCCAACTGCACAGGTTCGAGCAGAAGACAAACGTTGAGTTATGATATCAACAATGGGAAGTCTTGATGTGTAATGGATAACCACAGACCTGTCCATTTATCTGCTTCCGTTTATTCAGCTCTCCTGTTACGCTCCATATGCTGACATCCAAGAAATATTTAAACCAAAAAAAAAAACTCGATATATGAAAGTGGAGGGGTTAGGTCACTATGGTTCACTTGTGGTTTAAGACTCTTTCGTTGCTGGTATCACTTGCGTTCTAAAAGACAGGTTAGGTTCTTGGCGTGTGTGTGTGAGAGAGAGAGAGAGATTGGTGAATAGTAACCTTTCTTGTAGTTGTATGAGTTGGGACTGAAGTTCTCTCTCTCTTGCTGTAGCAGGAGGTGTCTACATGCAGATGAAAGAAGAGATTGATTGAACAAAAGAACGAATTGAATCTATGGTTCAAAGTGATGCAACACTATTTCCAGTTACCTGCAAGAGTTCATCGATACTTATCTCGGCTGGTTCGGATTGCTTGCCTGTGAGAACAGGACAAAACAAGTCAAAATATTTCTGTCGGATTCTTCAGCAAAAGAAATGTAAAATCTTTTGAAGAAGCAAATACCAGACGTTTGCTCAACATAATTGATCAGCCTCATAATTTCTTCCTGCAAAAAACCACAGCGTTTCAGTTCGCTACAATTAAGGTAATAACAATTGAGCATGCTGCTATTTTAAGGAAGAAAACGAGATATAGTATGGATTCCAAATTTACCCGTTGAATAACACTCTGCTGAAAAATGTACTGAAGTGAAGGGAGAACAGAGGCGGCTGTGACGTTGAGGGAGTTCGGGCTGGTTGAACCGCCACTGAATGGGTCAAACGTGCAGTTGGTAGGCCCCTTGATGAAACCCACCGAGTAAAAAAATAGATAAAGCCATCACCTTTATCATGAATTGCATCTTATTTTTCTACCATCTTCTAAGGCAAGCATTATTGAAGTACCAAAAGCTTAGGAAAAGCTCTCAAGAGCCAATAGAACACAAAAAATAGAAGAGCTTTTCAAATATCGTCTCAAAAGTGGCTCAAGGAGGTGATAGCAATCCCAAAGCCCCGATGAAAATGGATAAGTTGTATGCAGACAGAAAAGAAGAACCCAGTTCATATGTACTAAGACACTTATCATCGTACCTTGGGACTGAGATCTGCTGATGTCACCTTAAACCGTCCCTTGCGCTGAACAACTGTACCTTCTGATGTGTCGTCCACTGCATAAATCCAAAACAGATGTTAGGGCATGAGATTTGAAGACTCGCAAAAATCAAATGTAGCTTCTGACCAGATGGAAGGCTGGTATCTCTCCTCATGCGAGGATACAATGGTCCACTGTAGCTCCGCTCGGCTGGATGTTTTGACTGTTGAAACTCCCTAAGGAAGAAAAAGAAAAGTGTCTTTTCTTGTGAGTTCATATTAACGTGGAGTTAAAACACTGCCGTCAAACATATCTGGGCTCTCGAGAATGTTTTCATACGAAAGTCGGGTGTCTTTTGAGTTGCTATACATAGTTCTTAACATCTCAATCAATCAGAAAGATGTCCACAAGCTTCCAAGTCTACAATACATCTAGATTGGTTGAAACATTTGAAACTATTTGAGAAGACTGACCTGTCAGCATCATTGGTGATTCGTTTGGGAGCACTCTCTTGTATGAGCGAACCGCTCAAATACTTTTTCTGTTCAGGAATGAACTGACGCGGTAAAGAAATGTTTTGTGTAGTTGTCTCCTTATCTCTTGCGGTATGGGCCAGAGATCCAGCGGAGGACTTTCCTAAAAGCTGTTGTCCAGAATTCACTTGGCTTACATCTTTCCAATCAGGAGTAGTAGCATTATCATCATCCTCTCCAATGTCAAAGCAGCTTCTGCATCATAGAACATGCAAAAATAAATGCATATGCTGCTTTTGCAATTTACGATATTAAACAGACGGAACAATAGTTGAACTTGTTCATACATGAAACCTACACATGCGGTAGTGAATTTACAGCTTTAAATTCCAGATATGAGTGTAATAAGGTTTAGACCCTAACTCCACCACAAAAGCTAGTTTAAGAGTGGAGGTTTGACCCTCCTTATACATTGGCCCCAAATACCTCTCATTTTCTAATGTGGGACACTTATCAATACCGCCCCCTTTAGACAGGGACGTCCACAGCGCTAGGGCAAATCTGGTCGCTGGCGACTTCTCGGTCACTGGCGGCTTCTCGGTCCATCCCCGACCGTTCCTCTCCCGACCCGTCCCACAACCACCGAGTCGACCGCATGTCCGCAGGAGAACGACCCGTCAAAGGCCCACCGGAAACAAGAGAGTTAGGCTCCGATACCAATTAATAAGGTTTAGACCCTAACTCCACCACAAAAGCTAGCTTAAGAGTGGAGGTTTGACCCTCCTTATATATTGGCCCCAAATCCCTCTCTTTTTCCAATGTGGGACACTTATCAGAGTGAACTACCAACAAAAAAGAGTAGAGCAAGAGCAGAGAATGTGTCGTACTTGAGAGCTTGAAGAGGTTTGATTGGAAATGAAGCGAGAGAACCCTCCAAATCTTGAATATCATTCAATTCATCCTGGGAAAAGAAAGGAAAAGAGGCATGTTAGATCTGACTCAAACTTTATTTCTTTTCGTGGAGACAGATAAGTTAGACAAATACAAGGAGAAATTATACTAGAGAAATTGTTACAAAAATACCTCCTGATTGGGTACTGTTGCAGAACTGCTAGCCCTTTCAGGGGAAAGGCCAGATTCATCATGTCTTTCTCTTAGCTTTCTGCTGATATCTGGCTCTTCAGCATGCGAAACATCATCATCATCTGGAATCTGCAACTCAACATAATCAATCCACAGTATTTGGTTCACTAAACAGGACCTCGTCAAGAAACTGTCCACTTACAAGCGCAGCCTGATTCTTTAGGTCCTCAAGATTAAAATTCCAAGCGCTTATCCCCCTTATGTATTCTTGCTGCAGGAAAACAGGAACTCAAGTATAAACTGTAAGAAGAATATAAACAAAAACAAACTAGAGTTCTGGCATGAGCTTTCTTGAATTCCTCAGGCTCAAAGATTAGCAGCTAAAAACATTTTGCAGACAACTACATCACAGTAGGGTGAAAGTTTGGTTTTTGATCAATGATTTTCTCTGAAGTCTGAACCTTGCCTGTGATAGTTGCTCCTCGTATTCAGCTTTGTTTTGCATTAGAAGGTCAGATTCCTTTTCCTGAAAGAAAGAAATCACAAATCAATCAAGCTTTTCCGGAAATTCTCTTCCAGGGAAGAGACATCATAAATTTACATGACAGGCAAGAGACCTTTAGCATCCTATAACGTTCACCTAATGGAGGAAGTCCATTAAGGATTGTACGAGCCAGATAAACAGGTGGACGTGCTTGCTTGAAAAATTGGTGCTTCAAAAGCTTTTCTGCAGTTGGACGCTTCTTTGGGTCCTTCACCAGGCACGCACCCACCAATTCCTTGAAGGACTGGAATTACAATCAATGATCTCACTGAGAAGCAACTAAGGAATCCTAAATGGCTCAAGGAAAATCTGACCAAACACAAACCTTTGTGAATCTCTTGTCTCTCTCATAGTCAAGTCCAGGGGGTGCATTTTGTAAGGTCATTAGCAAGACCTGCCAATACAGAAAGCAACACATACAAACTGTGTACTAGAGTATGGTGAAGATACATACACAATTAAAATATGACATAAGAATTTTACTTTCATTGGCGGATACTTGGAAAATGGGGCATGGCCGTGAGCCAATTCAAGTGCTGTGATTCCAAATGACCATACATCCGCCCTGTACAAGGGCTACTGTCTTAAGGAGGCCAACCAAGAGTAAATTATTTATAACAAAATGCATAGAAGTAAAAGTTTGAGGTAACATTAACTCACTTGAAGTCGTATCCATGCAATTGTTGCATCACTTCAGGAGCCATCCTATGCAAAACCAAGCATGAATTTGAATTTAATGTCAAATGAAAATTCATGGAGGCCCAGAACATGGAATTATTAGAGATGAAAAAAGGTACCAGCATGGAGTTCCAACAAATGTATTTCTAGAACGTTGTCTATCCCCAGTATCAAACATGCAAGCTGAGACCCCAAAATCAGCTAACCTAACGGTACCGTTAGAGTCAATTAAAATATTTCCAGCCTGCAAAGGAAGCCACATATGTCGATAACAATGATGACACGACACCATCCTCCAAAAGAGATTGGCAATAAACGAAGAAGAACCAGAAGGCAGAAAAAATATCTGTTCCAGGAAGAGCACTTCAAATTTAACCAGATCGTAGTAACCAAAGGATCCATAAAAAAGGGGGGAAGAGTACTACAACATTATACCTTGACATCCCTATGGATGTGCCCGTGGGCATGAAGGTACACAAGAGCTTTCAGAGTTTCACGAAGCAAACTAGCAATAACAAGTTCCTCAAATCCATCTGGATAAGCAGACTTTATTATATGGAGACAGGATCCTCCAGCCATGTAAGGCATTACAACCCAAAGCTGGTGCCCAGTGGTGAAGGAACAATGTGCTCGTAACACATTAGAATGATCAATCAAATTCATCATTTGTACTTCTCGCCGAATGCCATCCTGCATGCATGTTGACATTAATTTAAGATTAAATGTTTGGTTTAGAACATCAGCAACAGCTGATGATGCTACACCTCTAACGTAAGTGCACGAAGCTTCGCAGAGAGAATAGTTTAAATAACATGAAACATACAACTACGTTTTGACAGGCTCATCTATGTTTTTCTATACATGAAATGAAAATGGGATTCACATTCTCCGAGGCACTAAATGCAAACATGAATAAGGGGGAAAAGATGCAAACTCAGAACTCTAGAGGGGCGACACCAGAAAAGTACACTGGCAGAGACAACTAGAATCTTGGGTAAAAAGATTAAAAGAAAAAGAAAATCCATTAAAAAGCTATTAGATTAGAAAAAAGGTTTGGAGTGCCTACCAGATCGTTGTTGCACTTTTCCAGATCAAGAACCTTGATTGCAACTGTCTCCTTAAGTGGAACGCATTCAGCTCTATACACAGTGGCACTGACTCCATCTCCAACCTCTTCGAATAACTTGTAGTCTTTTGCATTGAGAGGAAATCGTTTCTCTGAGCCAGACTCCATTGTTGTACTGTTCCTTAAAGCATATGACACAAGCCTTCAACCCCCCCCCCCTAAGTTTAAAATTTTATACAAGAGATATCAACTGATAAAACCGTCAATCTGATGTGCAGTTTCTTCCAATTCTCAAGCATTTTCCTCTCGTTCAGCAAAGAGCATCTAGCAATTGCACTGATATCATCAATTCCCTTTGCATCCAATTGAAGATCTGTCAAAAAGGCATTATGAAAGTCAAAATGTAGAAGATGTTGTCATGGTGTTGACAAGAAACAACAGAAATCGAATCCACGGACAAAAGGGCTATAAATTCAGATTCTGCAAGGAAAAAAGGCTGTAAATTCGGATTCTACCCAAAAAAAAACAACAAATTCAGGACAACCATCATTTCCCTGACCGACAGCCCCAGGTGCCCTTAGCAGTGGCGGGAGGCACCGTTGTCGGAAACAAGTATGAGAGCTTGTTCAAATTCTACAGGTTCCTCCGTCAAATCCACATTCATTCTCATCAGCAAAGAACCCCAAAATTCGATCCGAACGATAATCTACCTAAATCTATAGAAAGAGACTCGCATTCAAAATCCATCCCCAGTTCAAATCGCACAATTGATCATCGACCATATGTACACCCAAATCCAGATTACCAAGTTGAGACAAAAACTCAATCAGCACAGTTAACTAAAAAGATTGCAACAGACAAAAAAAGAACATCAGAAAATCTTCCTCCCAAATTCGTACCATCGCTCACTCCACCGAATTCCAACAGATTGAAACAAATCTGAGAACCAACACTGACCTCAAAAACAACCAAACCCAGTTATATAGTTAAGCTTCCTCTTCCTCCTTACGGGACGAAAACTATGACACCCAGAAAGCCGACAATTGCGGCGGCGAAGACTGAGAATCAACGATAATCAGTCACCTGTATCCGATGAAGTCCGTCGTTCTTACCCTGATCACGGCGTTATCTATTAAATATCAATGTAAAGACGGAAAACATTTTATGGAACGATAAAACTAGGAAATATTAATTAAATAAAACAAAATTTACATTAAATTGGGAAAATTACGGAACCGGGAGATGAAGAGGCCGGTTCGGGATAGGAGAAAATCTCGAAAATATCGGGGAATATGATATATATATATATATATATATCAGAGGATAGATGACTGCGTCACAGGGGCAGGCATCGCTGGGTCCAGCCCGCTGCCTGATTGGGTGGACTGTCATCCTCTCTCTCTTCCTCTACAAACACTCTATTATTTTTTTATAAAATATATATATTATATAGTTTCCGCTATACTTGTAGAATATTGTTACATTTATGTTTAATCCGACGGTGATTATTGAAAAGAGTAAGATTAATGTAAATGCATGCATGCAAATAGTTTTAGCTCCACCTTTTAAACAGTATCCTGCATACTCACATACATTGTGGGAGTCCCCCAGTCAACGCCTGAAAATGGGCTGCTTATGTCTTTTGACCGTCTAGAACATTGAACCAGTGGGCCAGATTTTTAATCTATCTTCAACAAGAACGGTCCAATTTTCTGAATAAAATACGCTGCACTTTAGTGGGGCATACTGGGCCTGCCTTTGGAGCCTGAAAAGCCCACCACGCATCCATCTGTATGGGGCCTAATGGGCCGTCGAAACAATTTAAATGGGCTATATATTAGTTCTTCAGCTTTTTACTGGGGGGGGGGTCGAATATGGAATTGGGGATAGGGTTTCGCTATTGGGCTTTAAGGATCCGATTGACGTTCAAACCCAGCACAGCTGCTGGCTCCTTTACATTCTTCCTGTGGACAAATCAATAACTAACAACATTGATGAAACTTGGCAATCTGTCCATTAGAAGCCTCAGCTCGAATCAATTTGATTCTATCCCAACAAAATGGAAGAGAAGCAAAAAAGCCGAGACGCAAGATCACTGAATCCTGAAACCTAGGCCGTAAGCCATTCTCTGCTCAATCGTAGCCGTTCCATCTCATCTCGCTTCTCGACACCACGGACAACGATCACTGACCCGTTACTTCTCAACCAGTAACGAATCCCCTATCCAAAGAAAATCTCAAACTCGGGTGCATACCCTGTGTGATGCAATCGAATGGTACAATTTAAATATGAACATGTATATGCACATATCATTCCATAGTTTCCACTGGATGGATACGTACGGGTTTTTTGATACGATCCTTATCTTATTCAGTTGACACTTACACCCCGAAACACCAAACTGTATCTATAAAAAGGGAATTGGTGGTGTGGTTAGGCGCAGGACCACCAGGCCAACGCCTCCTCCCCATCGGCGGCCACAAACAGGTTGTCGTCGCTGATGTCATCTTCCTCGGAGTGGATGGGGAAATAAGAGTCGCAGCTGTGAGGGGCGTCCTCGTAATCCACCACCCCACTCCCTGTACTCAACCGTGCCTCTTGTGCCTTCTGGTCAGGTCCTTCTCCCTCCCCTGGTGGCTCCTTTCCCGCCTCTTCTCTGCCTTGAAGCTTCTCCGTCAAGGACGCCACCTGGTTCAGATACCAGCATTTTCAATGCTTAATCATTATAAAGTCTTAGTTAATTAAGTTTGGTATCCATATGGACCATATCCAACTATCACGGTCCATGCATACATCCGTGGGAAAGAAGATCTCCCTTCCCTTTATCTATCTATCCATGTTTGCTTTTGTTAAGAAATCAAAAGCCATGCATATCAAAAGATGTTCAGACGGTACCTCAGATTTAAGCTTGTCGTTCTCCTTGACTGTGGATTGGTAGTCAGCGAGGAGATTGTCATACGTGGACTTGAGAAGATCGTAGTCTGTCTCGAGCTGCTTTGTCTTCCAACGAGCTCGTCGGTTCTGAAACCACACAGCCACTTGTCTTGGCTGAAGCCCTAATTTCTTTGCCAGCTCTGTCTTCCGTTCCGGCTCCAGCTTGTTCTCTGCCTCGAAGCTCTTCTCCAACAGATTCACCTGAACAAAGGGCTCAATCTCCATTTTCAAATATTGGCTTACACTGACATGCATAGGTTACACTTCATATATACAGTTTTATCAGCTGAAAGCAAAGTACATGTTCCAGTTATGAAACCAAAACATCTGATGGTATAAAGCTGGTTTTCTTATGGTTTGACTGATTTTGTTTGATCTGAAACGATGTACCTTAGAGAACAAGCAAATCCATGAAATGGAAATAACCTAATGGATGAATAAGTTTCATACTAAGTATGGACCCTTGTGCGGAGGAATTTGGGAATATGTCAAATTGGCTATGAAATATGGAATCAAATCAAAAGCATATATGCCTCATGGCCCTGACTGAGACCGGACACCATATCTTTAGGGACCAAAAAAGCAAAAACCTGTTCAGGAGTGAGGCGACGTTTCTTCTCCGGCAACTGCTCGTCATAGTATTCCTCGTCGTATAGGTCCTCTGGCGAGCTAAAGAATGGCCTCCGCTTCGACGTCTCTTCCATGCTGATCACCGATCTTCCTCCTTCAGGGGTGCAAAACGTTCAATTCATCAAATTCTCAATAGATCTGCCTATAGTCATTATTGGAATTGATTATGGAATAGATGATCTTATCGGTATGGAAATACTTCAACTGAAATCTCGAGACGATTAAAACTGTTTCTGATGATACATTGAAATTCGGGGCTCTATGTCCTAGGCTTTCCATCGATTCCTTCTTTATGCGTTGAATACGAGCAGAGCAATACGACAATTTGAAAGCATTTTCTCTCGTTTTCCGAGTGTCCAAACACCGAAACAACGAAAATCCACGGAACTAGAGTCAAAACGCTCTCGTCCACTAAACACAGAGATATCAACAATGCGAGAGAAAGAGAGAGCAATTACCTTGGATTACGGGATTGCGATTCCCGAGGAAGAGCATGTTGCCGTGGCAGGCAGATGGATCGAAAAAAAACTTATTGGATTCCATCGATCAGCAAAATCTTACTCCTCTGTGTCTCTTTCTCTCTCACTGTGAAACGAACCTCCAGAAATCCGTACAACACCGCAATCCAAAGCTTTCTCCGATCTTCGCCGGCCGGAAAAGAGGGACAAAGAAACGAAAGCGCGAAATTCCGTTGAAGCAAACGATCAAAGTCAAAGCAGAAAAAAAGGAAATGGATTAGAAGATCATGAGCTTGTGGCGGAAGAAGCTCGTACTCCACAGCAACCTCGCCGGCGTCTCCAGCGGACAGATGCAAAATCCCATCATGAACACCACCCCGCCGATCAACCAGAGGGATCGATCAATTAATTAAATGAGAGAATTTCGGTTCAGAACAATAAAAAAAAACCCTAATCACTCAAGTTTTTTTCTGCCCCAGGGATCAAATCACCATCTCTATGATTTGGAAGATCTAAACAGAGAAATTCAAATGAGAGAGAGAGCGAGAGAGATTGGTCCCTTTTTTGCCCTGGGTGCGTACTAAGCTTCTTTCGCAGCTAAACTTATTAGCTGCTTGAAGCGCGGGATTTAATATTCCAAGCGGTCGATGATTAAATGACTATAATACCCCTCCCACCTCGTCAACCTTTTTTTTCCACGATAGAAAAAATATCGAAATTCTGGTTGTAAAAAATATCGGAAGTCTTTATTTTCAGGGGATCTGTAGCTTCGAAACAGTATAAAAGTATTGTTAAATAGGAAAAAAAACGACCAAATATTTCATGACAAGTGGGCTGCCGGCCCAATACTCCCAGACGCAGGGGCATTTCAGGTAATTCAGGTGATGTGGTAGACTTTGTGGAGTGGTGGGATCCACTCCTTATGCGCGGTCGATAGAGTGGACTTGACATCAGATCTTGGCCGTTGGATCAAAATATATCTTTTTAAAAATTAAATTATTTGAATTGGGTTTTATTCACCTGTGGGTGGTGTGGTTGCGCCAGAGAGGGTGCACGCTTGGCGGTCGGGTGATTGTCGGCTATGAGATTGATTCAAGACAATCGAACGGTCCTGATCACGCCGGTGACTATCCCTTTATCACAGCGTGTTCACTCTATCATATTCCCGTTATTGTTTAATGTACATTGAACAATCACTACGTAACTCTATTCCCACCTGTCAAGTTTCCTGTGTCATTGATCTTAATATATATTATTATTTTCATAATAATTTTTTTTTGAGCAAGTTCTTGTAGAATATATTTTTTTTTCGTAGAAGGAAATAAATTTACAGTCGCTAAATACACACATATGTGTATACGGACAATATACGTACGATCTTGCATCATACATGTTGATGTGACGTCACCATGTAATAAAACAGACTTGATATATTTTATCCGTCTCGTTACATGATTTTATATGCATATATATATATATATATATCCACATATATAAGATGTTCCTCACCAAGATGTCATAAAATGGGGGCATCTTTTTCAGTTTCTAAAATAAGAGTTTCTCTTCACCATCTTTATTTTGCTGTTTTTAGCAATTAAAGAAGAGGAGGTCGGAAGGTGGGCGAAAAAGGAAAAGAAAAAATAAAATCGGCTGATGTTTTGTTCCCCTTTTAATACGTGAAATGAAAAGAGAGAGCACCTGAGAGGAACAAGAATACATTTAGGGCACGTGTCTGTGTTAGGGAAGGAAAAAAAGGTGATTCATCGTCGATTAAAGGTTGTGAGCACATTTGATCGCTTCTTCGTTCCACTATCTTTCTTTTTCTTTAACTTTTTTTTTTAATATACATAATAAAAAAAAAGAATATATATATATATATATATAAATATAAATATATATTCTATAGGGACCGTCCATTATGAGTTTTCAGTTCTCAATAAAAGTTTAAAATGGCATTCCACCAGTATGTATGCTTGTGAATACACACATCTCTACACAAGTATGTATGCTATGCATGTGTGTGTGGCCCACTGTTAAATTATCCAATGCAGGTTTGGAAAACAGAACACCAGAGGCCCATTTTAAAAGTCCGACAGGAGTTGGGTCTTTACATTTGGATACCCATGTTCAAATCGATATACAACACACACATATGTATAGATGTAACACAATCTGAACGAAGATTTTCCAAGATACAACACAGAGAACAAAAACGCAGGAATGGGGCGAAGAGGAGAAATCAAAAGGCCAATTGGTTAGGGTCATAGAGCTGGCGAGAGCTCCAGCTAGAAGCTGCGGGAGAAGAAGAAGGGAGAATGAGGGTGGGGAGTCGCTTACTTTCTTCGACAAAAGGGAAGTCGGTCGTGTAGTGAAGGCCACGGCTTTCGTGCCTTGCAAGGGCGCTGCTCACTACAAGTTTGGCGCAGCAGAACAGATTCCTCATCTCGCAAGCTTCCAGTGCCACCATCGTCTGCTCCCACCCATGCTCGAACAAGAATCTCTCCCACTTCCCTTCCATTTCCTCTATCTTCCTCTCCGCCTTCTCCAGCCTTGTCGTCGATCTCACGATCCCCGCGTACCTCCACATCACTCCCTGAAGCTCCCGCCTCACCTCTCTCGTCAAAGCCATGATCTTTCTTCTTGTCTCTTTCCCGATCGATCTGGGCATGGACGGCCTTGCCCACCATTCTGAAACGCCAAGCTCGTGCCTTGTCCGCTTCATGAGTTCAGTTGAGGGCT